TTTATCTCTCAGAAAAATCAACTTACATGAATCACGTTTAGGCGCACTTAGCGACATCTATTGTAAAGAAATTAACTTACATGAATCACATTTAAGCGCACCTAGCGACATCTATTGTAAAAAAATGCATTTTCTTCACAATAAAGCTGCCACGTGGACGCCCTAGATAGAGACTTATTATTATAATACGGTAAAATAAAATATTATTATGTTTCGTCCAATACATTGAAAGTCAACAACCTTTCCAATTTTATTGTGTGTCATGATGCGATCAGCCCACGTGTTAAACCCTGACGCGAGTTTAACATTTTTTACCCATACAAAAAATAAGTGTACCACGCCGTTCAAGAAGTTTTCACTTCAAAAAATACGCAGTTCTTTGAGAGACCTGGAGATTGTAATAAGTTACAAAACCTGTGTTACGACCCCCAGGCTCATATCGTCTTAAGACCCGTTCGCTTGTTGCAGATTCTTTTGCACTTTACAAATTTTTTCATGAACTTCCCTAAATTATAGTCGAGAGTACACTCTAGGTTATATTTAACTAGACGACTAACGAGAGACTACAATTTAGGGTAGTACATGAAAAAAATTGTTGAACATTGAACAACAGTTACAAAAACCATGATGATTTAATAGAGACGCAAGAGACTGGAAAGAGATCGTTACCGTCATTCATCAATAAATGTGCGTTCAATCGATAATACTTAAATATAGTCGGATAAAAGGTACAAATACAGGGTGTAAAAAATCCTGTAATGAAGTCGCAAGGCTCGTATTTTCCACATCATGAAGATCATTCTTTTCTTCTGGACCATACCTGGCAAATTTATGGTTATGGAGATATTGAAGGTCAAAGTCACAATTTTTTTTTCAATATTCATACATTAATATTTTCAAAACGTTATTTAGAAACACACGCACACACATACACACAGGCACATTCTTTGAGTAGCGCTATAGTAGCGCGTCGCACTATACATTGCGTACTGAAAAAAAAAAAAAAAAATTTTTTTTTTAGCCTTAAAAAAAAATCAAATGATTCCCACGCATAATATTTTGTAACTACCGGACCGCCCTCGCTTCGCTTCGGTGTAGAGCTGAAGTGAAGACTACAGTTTTTGTTCTCAGGATTGTATTATACACAATGACATGATCTATGATTCTTCTTATACCTGCATGCAAAGTCTCAGCCCGATCGGTTTAAAATTGACAAAGTTTCATACAAACTTTTATTCCCTATTTTATCCCCTTGGGGGTAGATTTGATCAAAATCCTTTCTTATCGGATGCCTTCGTCATAACATCTACCTGCATGCCAAATTACAGCCCGACCGTCCTGTGGTTTGGGCTGTGCGTTGATAGATCACTATGTCAGTCAGTCAGTCGCCTTTGAGTTTTATATATATATATATATATATAGATATTACTTGTTTGGGTGTACAGAATGCGTAGTTTTAGTCTTTGTCATAGGTTCTTTTACACCCTGTATAGTTTACTTCTAGGTTGCGAATAGGATACTTTATATTTCGGAAAAAAAAAATGTGAGGATCTCAAAATACTAAAGGCACGAAGTTGCGGGCGTAAGCTAGTATCTTATAACCATTAATGCGTAAGTCGGTATAATTTCAAAGTATATGTAATTCTATTGCCAAAGAAATAACAAAACATAATATTTAAAAAAAAGTGTGCATGAAACATATGACGACTGACTACCACCGTGGCCGCGTGGGTGATACTCGTATATACGCCTGATTGCAAGGCGTCACCTGCTCGCGCGGTCCCGGGTTCGAATCCCGGTGGGAGCAAATATTTTTGTGATGAATACGAGCATTTGTACTCCAGTCATGGATGTTTCATATGTATTTCTCTGTAAATATACTTATATATGTACAGTATATGTATTCTATCCGTTACCCTAGCATCCCATAACACAAGCCTTATAGTGCTTATTTTGGGGCTACGCTAATTGGTGTGAGTGTTGGAAATATTTATTTATTATTTATTTATAAATATACATCTGAAGTAAAACTTATTTTCTTGAATAACCTAACACTATATGAAAAGCAATTTCCCTTGTCAAATCTAAACTTATTACTATTATTTGTTTCTTAGGTTTCACGCACATCACTCATTAAATAAAACTAGTTTTAACGGGTTAGTGCACGAAACTTTATTTATTTATTAACGTTTGACCTTTCCAGGTCTGCTTCGTCAGAATAATGACGGACGGATGAATTATTCTGACGAAGCAGAACTGAAAAGGCTGCGAAACGTCAATAAATAAATAAAGTTTCGTGCATTAACCCGTTAAAACTAGTTTTATTTATTACTATTACTTACTACTATACTAGATTTAAGTAGGTCGAAATACTTACCGCAAGTGTATGTACCTATTTGGCGCGCCAAAAATAAGCGTAAAAGATTGACCATCTCTTAACCTTTTACGTTAATTTATTTTAAGTGTCGCCGTCACGGGCCACCGTCCACAACCACAAAACGGCGTTTTGTGGACCGGCATATTTCTTGTAGTTTTCATACATTTTATATTGTCTTGCCACACATGGTACGCCGGTGGCCGCCACACGCTTCAAATCGTCGTTACTCGCTTCTTGTGGCCCGCACCGGCCACTTAATGCGCCGATACAAAACGCCACACGTCACTCGCGCGATTCCCCATCCCTCTCTCCCTTACCTTAGTCGGCCGCTGTCGCGCGCTTCAGCCACTTTAGTGGCCGCTTCTAGCTTCTCGTGTGGCCTGTGCGCGGCGACACTTAGCGTCACTGTACCGGTCCGACACCGGACGTTAATCGTACTGTTTCAAAAATATCTTACTATGTCATATTAAGCTGTAAAAATGATATAATTGAAGAATGTGACCGGGGCACATGCTTTTTCACCACATAATTGTTCAGTACCCCTAGCACGAAGCATTATCGAATTCGGATAGTTTGCGAGTCCGAAATGTCATTGTCAAATGTGTACTGATTGACGTTTGGCACCCGCAAACGATTCGAATTCGATATTGATTCGTGCTAAGGGTACTCAAAATCTGACACGCACTGTTTCCATACAATTTGAAGTACATACGGCGTCTACTAACCTTTTTAAGCATAAAAAGGTTTTAACATAGATGAATGATTGGTCTCGCTTCGTGAAACATGACCAATCATTTATCTATGGGTTTTAAAATGTTTTCTTTAAAAAATATTACTACAGAATTACTACGAATGCTACGCCTGGCTACGCCGCGTAGCAACGTAGCACGTAGCAACTCCAAAGGTTCGGACCAATCAAAAATCGGTATATCTATAAAATTTCAGTTCTTTTGGTAATCAAAATAAGCCCTTTTGTCCACGAAATAAAGTTTCCATTTTCAAAGTCAATCTAAATACGAAACGAATAAGCGAAACTCTGTGTGTGCGTTTTACGCACCAATTAGCCTAGCCCCAAAGTAAGCACCGTAAGGCTTGTGTTATGGGATGCTAGGGTAACAGATAGAATACATATACTGTACATTTATATAGAAATACATATTATACATCCATGACTGGAGTACAAATGCTCGTATTCATCACACAAACATCTGCCCCCACCGGGATTCGAACCCGGGTCCTCTCGAGTCGGCGACACCATGAAACCCGGCGTATATATTACCCACTCGGTCACGGTGGTAGTCAGTCGTCTAATGTTCCATGCACACTTTTTTTTAATATTATGTTTTGTTATTTCTTTGGCAATTGAATTATACATACTTTGAAATTATACCGAACTACGCATTAATGGTTATAAGATACTAGCTCGGCCACGGAGGTCGTCAATTTTTAAATTATTACTAGTTGACCCAGTGAACTTCGTATCGCCCTAAAAAATAGGGGTTGTCCAGCGGACAAAATGGTGAATCTAAACCATTCTCAGATCCCCTTGAACACACACAAAAAATTTCATCAAAATCGGTCCAGTCGTTTAAGAGAAGTTCAGTGACATACACACTCACAGAAGAATTATATATATAAAGATTTGCAGCCGTTGCACTTATTTCTCAGAACAGCTTTGTTTTTCGAAGAGACTTGAGTTAGACTTTTTTTTAGATTGCTACGTGTATATCAATTAACTGTAATAAAACTGTAATTAACTTAGAATTTTTCATATGTAACTTGGCTACAACACACGATACTCCCTTGCGCATTTTGCAGAATATTAAAAGTGTATTAACATGCAAATGCAATTTTAATATTAAGTTACAACCACACCTCAAGTAATGTGTGCCATATAATTAGTATCAGCTTTGATCATATACCTACTAGACTTATATACATACATAGCAATTAGCTTACGAAATTTTTAAATCATGATTTTGCTGAAATAAGTATGTCAAGGAATTTTATGGCGCAAGTGGTTAGCGCGTTCCGCTGCGATCGTTGAAGTTAAGCAACTTTCGTAGTGGTCGGTCATTGGATGGGTGACCAAAATTATTTTTTTTTAACTAACGGCCATAACTTATGTTCTCGGCCAAATCGTCTGTCTTTTGAATTGAATTATCGGGCTGCGTGTCTATAGACGCTAGATGATTGTTATACTGGCGATAACTTGACACACACTAAAGCGGTTGTGTGACTAACGCATTTTAGTACGAAATATTCCTCACGCACGTGTGGAATAAACAGCCTATTCTCCATCTGCATGGTGTGATCATACATTCACCTTACATTCTCGCATAGACAATAGGCTGCTTATCCCAAACCCACGTCACGAAGCTTTGGTACTAAACTACGTTAAAATTAGTGTGCGAACTTTGAGTTAAGTCCCACAACCTCTTTAGTGTGTGTCAAATTATCGCCAGTATAACTATCGTCGTCGTTGGCCGAGACCAAAAGTTATGGCCGTTAGTTGAAACTAAACTAAACCTAAACTTCGAATTGAGTACGCTGTTTCAACAGCACATACAAATGTATCGTCTCCCACAATACTCCGCTGTTATGAATGACTAATATAGTGTAGATCAACATGTTGTGCCCGCAGGTCGCCGTCGTACCGCGCGCGGGCTGAGCCGGCGCCGACGCAGCCGCCGCCCGCGCCGGACCGCCAGCCCTCACTCAAGGAGAAGAAACCACAACTCAAGGGACCGCGCCCCGTGGGATCCAGCGTCTCTGGTCAGTAATATAGTGTAGATCATCGTGTTGTACCGGGCCGGCCAGGCGCCGACGCAGCCGCCGCCCGCGCCCGACCGCCAGCCCTCACTCAAGGAGAAGAAACCACAGCTCAAGGGACCGCGCCCCGTGGGATCCAGCGTCTCTGGTCTGTAATATAGTGTAGATCATCGTGTTGTACCGGGCCGAGCCGGCGCCGACGCAGCCACCGACTTCGCTAAAGGAGAAAAATCCGCAGCTCAAGGAACTACGCAACGTGGGATTCAGCGTCTCTGGTCAGTTAAATAGTGTAGATCATTGTGTTATTGAAGAAAAGAAGACACAGCTCAAGGGACCGTGCCCAGTTGGATCCAGCGCCTCTGGTCAGTTATGTAGTGTAGATCATTGTGTTATAGAGGAGAAGAAGACACAGCTCAAGGGACCGTGTCCAGTGGGATCCAGCGTCTCTGGTCAGTAATATAGTGTAGATCATTGTATTATCAAAGAGAAGAAGACACATCTCAAGGGACCGTGCCCAGTGGGATCCAGCATCTCTTATCAGTAATATAGTGTAGATCGACTTGATTTACCGTACGCAGGCCGAGCCGGCGCATACGCAACCGCCTCCCTCGCTCAAGGAGAAGAAGCCGTAGCATGAAAAGATTTATCATAAGAATGAATGTCCGCAGAAAGTAAGTAAGAAAAATCATAGGAGAAACTGCCGTTGTACCGAATACACCATTAACTGTGATTTCAGATGAAACGGATTGGCTTCGTTTGCACTAATATGAATTCCCATAATTTCCCCTTTCTTTCCTCGTAATATAAAAATAATGTTGAAAAAGCAAATGAATACATAATGAACAAATTTAAACTCGAAATCTTTGATTATATTTAATAAAAGTTTCACTAATTGTTATTACGAAAAATTACTCCAGTTTTTCAATTATTGAGATAAAATTGTAAAATTAACTCAAAACATGCAAGATTAATACCTTATTGTGTAACCGCGTTTATATGGTATAAAAAAGGAAGTAAAAAAGAGAAACACTTTATTGGCCTTCACAGCATTAATTTAGAAGAACAAAATCTCTTATCTATTAGACAAGTCCGTCCGTCCGTCCGTGGTGCTGTTTCAGCGGCCAAACCGTAAGAGATAGATAAAGAGAATGTTTAAGTTATAAGTTGAGAATAGTCTGATAAGACTACAAACCGGATATGAGTAACGTAGCACTTCCGGTTTTCGAGAAATCACGTGATTTCTATTTCAAACGAAACCACACAAAATCTCCGAAGTTCTCAATTAATTAAATACATTTTTTGACGTGACAACGTCTTAAATTAGGTTGCGGCTGGGAGTCACTTATGAAAAAGTGTAACGCTCGGTAACGTTACGATGAGTCTCTCGTGTTAAGTTTAAGTTTACATGTACAATGTTTTAGTAAACAAAATATATTTCTATAGTTAAAATTTGTGCAATTCTTATTTTCATTCAATTCCTTGTTCCTATTGTGCAATTTAATTATATTCATATCAATAAATATTCTACCGAGAAAAAGACGTTGTCACGTAAAATCTTCGCCCGTAAAACCGACTTTACAGGCAACCATTTTGACGTGACAACGTCTTAAATTAGGTTGCGGCTGGGAGTCACTTATGAAAAAGTGTAACGCTCGGTAACGTTACGATGAGTTTAAGTTTACATGTACAATGTTTTAGTAAACAAAATATATTTCTATAGTTAAAATTTGTGCAATTCTTATTTTCATTCAATTCCTTGTTCCTATTGTGCAATTTAATTATATTCATATCAATAAATATTCTACCGAGAAAAAGACGTTGTCACGTAAAATCTTCGCCCGTAAAACCGACTTTACAGGCAACCATTTTTTTTTTTAGTGAACATTTGGTTCACTGGTTTGCTAGTTGTTATATAATAGTAAAACATAGACATAATGAAAAAAACGGCGGGTGCACACTCTAGAAGTGAAAACTTGAATATTAACGTTGTGCATTTTTGATATTTTGGAATGGTTAGGGAATAATTTTGCACGAATTGCTTTAATTATCAGTATAAAAGTACTATTATTTATGTGGTGGAATACAATATTTATTTATTGGGCTATCGTACATAAACATGACAATTTATATTACATTAAAAAAGTTTATCTCTCGGAAATATCAACTTACATGAATCATTGTAAAACATGCATTTTCTTCGCAATAAAGCTGCCACCATCGCAGTCTCATCTCATCGCTTCTTCCAATTTTATTGTTTTCGTCTTACGAATTTTCGATCAGGCCACGTGTCCTGACGCGAGTTTAACAGTTTTTACCCATTATAAAAAAAGTGTACAACAACATGGGAACTAGTTACTAGGTTCGTGCCGTGTAAGGCCAATAGGACGCTGCCTCAGCTATGCTCTGTGGTAAACGCTTACGCGATACCACAACAGCGCTAATTTTCAGGTATAAATATCATCACAATGGATGGATGACACTATCTATAGGTACTGTGGTTCGTTTGCCCCAGGAATGGTACAATTCAATGGTGCATTCGGTGCAACGGGGAAAATAAAGTATTAGGATCTAATCGAAACATTGTTTTTACTTGCTGCAGTCTCAGTAAATAGCCATAAAACCAATGGAACTCTTACAATACTGACAAAATTACTTACAATAGTGGTTACACATCAAATACTCTTTCTTGGTAGAAGGCAAAAGTTGTTTCACTAACTTCCGCTCCGTCCACCCATTTCGCGCTCTTTTCCCTAATCGTAAAGGAAAACGGGCATAAAAAAACCCTCAGAATAATCTCAGAACATCGGCGATACAATCCTTATATAATTATGTGCGGTTTCCGGAAATAAAGAAAGTTTTCTGTGAATGTCACGGTGTCGGTCTTAAGAGCCCTTTCACATTTTTTGCAAGAAATCGCACATTTTGAGCGCCTACTTTACGTTCTTAGAAATTATTTTTACTATTTTTGATACAAGTTAGAAGTAACGCGACATGCTTAAGATGAACGTAAAAATTTGTAGCGCTGTTTAAAAGAAATTCACTTTAAAAATAGAAAACACGACTTGTGAAAAACAAAACACCTTCAACATTGTATTCTTCGCATCGCTCAAGGTTACAGTCTAGAAACATTCGTTGCTACTTTCAGGATGCATCTTAGTGCCTCAAATTAAATTGCACTTGTTGAATAACTTGTTATTTGTATACTAAAGTATCAAATTGATATGGCGCACTATATTGAACATCGTCGTATCGATCTCGCTCATGCGACTCGGGCATGCTCGCGGCCGTATTTGCCTAAACTGCAGCAGCTGAATTTTGTGAAAGGGCTCTTAACTTTCCAGTGTTCTGGAAAAAAAAATATTTCCAATATTCAAAATTAAGATCAAGCGAATTTAAAACTAAAGCAAAATTTTACTAGGATAACATCCATTCGCTCCAAGGTTTGGAAGATAGTTCAAGGTTCGAATCCCGCCTGAAAACTGAATTCCCAAAGCGGTACATTTTACTAATACCTCCATACTCTACGAATTAATCATTCCGCTTTCAAAAAAGCCCCCTTGTTTGTGAATGTTTTTCTATTTTTTAAGCCAATTTAAAATTCTTTATCGTTGCTTGCTTGTCTTAACACATAATTTAACATCTAAAAATCTTCACAGCGTGTCTGAAACGTAAATAAACTAATTAAATGTTATCTTCAAAGCCAGCGAGACTTAAAAAAACGCTGACAAGTACAAGTCGGAACACCGGGGGTTGCGTTTGCGTATTTTTTTAAGGTAGGTACGGAACACAGACGGCCTTCTTTTTTGAAGTGGAACTTCCTTTTCGGACGGGGTGGAAATGGAAAAATCCTATGGAAAAGATGAAACAGAAATGCGTTCCTCGTGAGTGACGTGGTGGCAGGTTAATGCAGGTCAGTTCCTCAGAGGTAACTAAGGGTAACAAATAATATTTCCAACACTCACACCAATCAACCTAGCCCCAAAGAAAGCACTGGAAGGCTTATGTTATGGGATACTAGGGTAACGGATAGAACACATATAAATAATAATAATAAATAAATAAATATTTCCAACACTCACACCAATTAGCCTAGCCCCAAAGTAAGCACTGTAAAGGCTTGTGTTATGGGATACTAGGGTAACGGATAGAATACATATATTGTACATATATAAGTATATTTATATGAAATACATATTAAACATCTATGACTGGAGTACAAATGCTCGTATTCATCACACAAACATCTGCCCCCACCGGGATTCGAACCCGGGACCTCTCGAGTCGGCGACGCCATGAAACCCGGCGTATAAACCACTCGGCCACGGAGGTCGTCATACATATATAAGTATATTTATATAGAAATACATATTAAACAGCCATGACTGGAGTACGAATGCTCGTATTCATCACACAAACATCCGCTCCCACCGGGATTTGAACCCGGGACCTCTTGAGTCGGCGACAGCCATGAAACCCGGCGTACAAACCACTCGGATAGGAGTCGTCAAATACTAAGTATTTAACGTGAAATTTATGAAAAACACTGTGCTGTACTATTTTTTAAAATAAATTAATTTGAAGAACCGTTGTTCATTTTAGTCGGAATAAGCGCGCTAATGAAACTCAAAAAAGCACTAGAGTCTGTGCGGAAACAGAATGGGCGTGGCGAAAAACAGAACTGAGGCCGGCATCGCATTTGTGATACTCCTGGTGTTGCAAGTGTCCATGGGCGACGGTAATCACTTACCATCAGGTGAACCATCTGCTCGTATGCCCCTAAAACGTCAAAGTTTTGTATTGATACGGATTTGTTTGTTGTTGCGATTTTTTGCGGTTTTTTGTATTTAATCATGTCTAAAAGGGGTTAAACCTTACGAATGCGGTAGAAAAGCACTACAGCGCCCTCCAATCTAAATCCCATTCTCTTTCTGCACAAACTCTACTTACTTATACAGTAATTTGTCTTTCATCTTCCATGATAATTTAATACGTGAAGCTAATAATGTTCTTCTAAAGAGCGGAGACTTGTAGTGTATGAAGATACAATATATATTTTTTTATAAAAGGGCCTCTTAGAAATACCGTGTATTTTCATTGTTATAGAAATAAAAGATTATCGTTGTCTTCTTCATTTTCGAATGGCAATCTATCCCTTTTGTTTAGGGCCTACTTTTGTCCGTGTTTTAAAATATTGCTTACGTCTTCTCAAATTTCTATTGTTGCCTGGATGCTCCATTTTATGTTATAGTAAAATGTTTATTATTGCATTAAAAATTCACCTAAAATTATAGTTAAATATTTGGAAACTTAAAAAATAATGTACGTTACTATCCTGGCTAAGACTAAAGGAGCACTTTATAGATGACAAAGGGTGCCAAAAGGGTAATTTAAAAGTCTATTTTCTAGCCAAAAAAACGGACAAGTGCGAGTCGGATTCGCTCCCAAAGGTTCCGTTCAAATTTGTAAGTACGCGAGATAAACGCCCGAATCTTTTTTTTTAACTTAAAAGTTTGATTCTTAGGTTTTCACGCGCATAACTCATACTTTCAGTCTTTTATTCAGACGACGCATGCTGCAAGGAATGCGAAACGCCAATAAATAAATAAAATCAGTGCATCTACACCGTTGAAACTTGTTTTATTTAAGTTTGATTTTTTCACATCTTCAAGAGATCGCAGATCTGAGTATATGGTTTAAATATGTTTAAGTTTCGGAACCTTGCCTAAAGGGACTGCTTTTAATAATATATTTTAGTCATTATATTAAATTTTTTTTATGGTTTTTAGTTTAAGTTCATTGTTCCCGTATATATTATTATTGTAAATATCATAATGTAAATAAGCATGTACCATGTTTAAATTTTAACTCGATACATTTACGAGTTCCCGAGTTATAGAGGGTCTTGACAGACAGACGGACAACAAAGTGATCATCTATGGCAGTGTTTCCTAACCTTTCCAATACTGCTACCCCTGTAACCAGAAAAAAACAAGTAAACTTTATTAAGAAAACAGATTTTTCCCCGACTTTAAAATGTTATCATCAGTCCAAGAAATTCCAATTTGGCCGCTACATCTTCGTCTCTAATAATGTCATCATCAGGAGAGAATCTCGCCCCGCTTCCCACACTCAGCACCCCGCAAACTCGCTAGCAAGAAGGAGCGCATGTTCTATTTAGTATTATTATTATATAGTATTTTGTTATTATTTAGATTTGACCAAATAATTAGATTCTTTGTTACCCCCGAAGTATGGCTGATTTACCCCCGGAGGGGTAATTATCCCCATGTTCGGAACCCAGGATCTATGGCTTCGGTTTTTTTGTCCACTCTGCTCACATGCTAATAATATTTCAAATATTTTCAGATTCCATCTCCCTTTCATCGCCTGTGGCCTGCGCGTCACCCCGCGAAGATGTGGAAGGTCCACCGATGCCTGCCAGCGTCAGCTCGCTGCCGGAAGATCACAAGTCAAGTCTGCTGGGCAGACTGCCGTGTCAGCGAGTCAGGAGAAAGCGGGCCATGCTTATATACGTCTGTGCGGCCGACTCGCAAGGTACAATGCAATCATCATCATCATCGGCCTATTAATGTCCCCACTGCTGGGGCATAGGCGTTCCCTATGGATGGAATTGGGAGGTTTGGCCATTACCCACCTCGCGGGTACAGTGCGGATTGGTAGGGGCTAACGATTACAGATGCAACCGGGTTAAACGGCTTGACGTGCCTTCCGAAGCATGGTGGAGTTTGAGATAGTAAGTTTTGGTGACCCATCCAATGACCGACCATTGCGACAGTTGCTTAATTTCCACGATCGCAGGCCGAACGATCCACCTACTCCATCGAGCTCCTCAATCATTTATTACAATACAATACTAAACACTTTTTTTTATACACAGTTTAGATCTCGTGTATATGTCGCAGGCAATTTATATGATTAGGCGTTTTACAAACGGCGTCGTCGTAAAAACGCTCTCTGTTTTAAAATATGCTGTAGGCAAACTGGAGACTCGTTCAATTGTTAAATTTTAACATTGATTGTTTTAGTAAGGTGGCCATCATAAAACACAGGTTGGACAAATCAGACTTATTTCAGGCATCAGGTAGTTACCTATTAAAATAGGACTAATTTAAAATATATGCTTAGTTGGGCACTCCATAATCATTAAATTATATAGTATAAAAAACGGTCTTTAATGTGGTAGGTACTGAATTTTATCTCGACCACCATGTCCACAATCGCTATGAATATCTAACAAAATATCAAAATCTTCACAATAATCTTCGATTGGTATAACACGGGCCATTGGACTCTCCGAGCTGTCTTTTTTTATAAATAAGATAGTCCTCATCGCGGAGACTCAGCATATCATACTTTTTATACCAATAAATAATATTCCGCAGGTGTCCTCCGAGCACCAGATTCCATGAACATCATCATCATCATCAGCCTATTAATGTCCCCACTGCTGGGGCACAGGCCTTCCCTATGGATGGAATAGGGAGATTTGGCTATGACCCACCACGCGGGACCAGTGCGGATTGGTGGGTGTTAACGACTGCAGATGCAGCCGGGACCAACGGCTTAACGTGCCTTCCGAAGCACGGAGGCAGCTCGAGATAGTAATTTTTGGTCATCCATCCAATGACCGACCACTGCAAAAGTTGCTTAAGTTCAACGATCGCAGCCGAACGCGCTAACCACTTGCGCCATCGAGCTCCCTTTCCATGAACACCTTGACGTTATTTTCGTGTTGGTTAACCTCAAAAACTTTGTTAATTGTACACGACTGTAAAACTGCTCCTATTTGTAAATCGTAAAATTTTCTTAATTTACTATAATAAATGTCTTTACGTAACAATACTTTTATTGTGAGAAGTTCTTTCGACACGTAGAATTTGCAATGTTTTCAATATTTTTCCGTGTCATAAAACTACTACACGACGCCATTTTTCTTGTTTTGATGAATGCGCCACGCGTGGTAAAATAAAGAACTAAATACTTCAATTTGCCACGGCATTTCGTAAACGCTAATTAGATTGTCTATCAAACGTTGTGGCATATTATAAAGCGCCAGACAATTTACATTTTGCCTATGGCATATTTCAAAACAGCGAGCGTCTTTAAACGGACGACCGCGACGTTCGTAAAATGCGTAATCATAACAATAGGGATGATGACTAATTTTTCTTCTTCGTTTATCAGGTAGATTATCAAAAAGTATTGGACACCTATTTTTTATTTTTTTACATTATATAAACATTGCAGAGACATATTGATTTGAAATGTCGCATGACGTCACGTTTGAGTACACTTATAAGTGAAAATTCACTCAAAAGTGACGTCACGAGCCCCTACTCCCAAACTTTGACGCGCTATAACTTTGTCATTTTTTGGTTGATTGCCCAAAGAAAAAATACGTGTCCATTATTTTTGATCATCTAACTGACGGACTAAATAGAATTTCGTTTACTGTACCCCGTCATCACCCCTATTGCCTGCGACATACACATCCCAGCAAACTTCTTGAGCTTCGGCTGTAGACCAGGGGGTTTTCTCTCTTTCTCCGAAACGAACTTTCGATAACGAAGTTCAAACGAAATTTAATTTCGTCAATTTAAGATTAACCTTCATTTGAACGAAAAACTTTCAAATTGAAGCTTTCTCTGAGTAGGCTTAGAAAGTCTGCATCTCAATCTGTATTCCGACGACGAATATTATTATAATTAAAAACGAACCAGAAACATAGTAAGAAAAGTGCGAAGTTTCGATCGAAATTTCATTTTTCGTTGAAACAGAGTAGGCCTTCAGGAAGCCGTGCGGGCTTTGCCTGTAGCTACTTTACATACAGAAACGTCTACTGCGAAAGTTTATTTGTCTGTTATATTGTTCAAAAAGTTTGCTGCTCCAACAATAGGCTTTATCGCTAAGAGCTATATCTTCCAGAAAACCATTAGGTGGAGAGGAATAGAAGATTAGGAGAGACTGCGTTGTAAATCGCTTACGTAATATAATAATACAAACATTATATTCAAATGCATGAGGTTAGAGGACCATACTATCGCAATTCTTTTCATCCTTCTCCTACAATACCCTTTCTCTTCTCTTCCTCTCTATCTCTCTCTTTTGATGCTCTATTCTCACTCATTCCTGTACCCTTAGTACGAAAACTATCATAGTTTTCGTAATTGTAAATAAGGTTTCTATGACCGTTTTGGTGAAAACTAACCAAATATACTTAAAATTTAAGAAGACGCAAATGATTTAATGTTAGAATTTAAACACTGTTTATTTGTATTAAAACGAAAACAATAAAATCAGTACCCTTAGTACGAGTGCGAGCTCACGAAAACTATAATAGTTTTCGTAATTGTAAAACTCGTACTAAGGGTACTGCTATCCTTATCCTTAGCAGTCTTGGCTTCACTCAATCTCATTAAAGAAAGTTAAAGACTGTTGATACAAGGATAAAAAAAAACTTTTTGATCTTGCATCGTGACCACCACGGCAGCATAATGGTCAGTGCATTCGCCTGGATAGCGAAGGGTGCGAGTTCGAGTCACGTCTGCTGGCTGGTCCTCGTGGATTTTTACCTAGTAAAATTTTCTTCAAATATATTACTTTTTGGAGGAGGAGATCTCTAGTGTATACTAATTACCATGAATCCCATTTCCAGATTGCTGCGCGGAGAAGGGCGCGCTTCAATGCGGCGCGGCGGCGCGTCTCCGCGCGCGTGCACGCGGGCGTGGGTGGCGCGTGCACGTGGCCGATCTGCACTGGCGTTCCCCGCTCGAACAACAGCGCGACCACAGGTTCCCCGTGCTGTGTATAGCGGAGCTGGCGCGTGAGTGCAACCTTTATTGTTAATGGATTATAGCGTTAACGCGCGCGTGCACGCGGGTGTGGGTGAAACAAGTTAGTGGAGTCTAGCGTCAACGCGCGCGTGCACTCGGGTGTGGGTGAAACAAGTTAGTGGAGTCTAGCGTCAACGCGCGCGTTCACGCGGGTGTGGGTGAAACAAGTTAGTGGAGTCTAGCGTCAACGCGCGCGTGCACGCGGCTGTGGGTGAAACAAGTTAGTGGAGTCTAGCGTCAACGCGCGCGTGCACTCGCGTGTGGGTGAAACAAGTTAGTGGAGTCTAGCGTCAACGCGCGCGTGCACGCGGGTGTGGGTGAAACAAGTTAGTGGAGTCTAGCGTCAACGCGCGCGTGTACGCGGGTGTGGGTGAAACAAGTTAGTGGAGTCTAGCGTCAACGCGCGCGTGCACGCGAGCGTGGGTGAAACAAGTTAGTGGAGTCTAGCGTCAACGCGCGCGTGCACGCGGGCGTGGGTGAAACAACAGCGCGACCACAAGTTCCTAGTGCTGTGTATAGTGGAGCTGGCAAGAGAGTGCAACCGTTATTGTAAGTGTAGTCTAGCGTCTATGCGCGCGTGCACACGGGCGTGGGTGGACCAACAGTACCCTTAGCACGAACCAACATCGAATTCGAATAGTTTGCAAGTCCGTGTCAAATTTTGTATGTAAACTTGAACAGTAGCGCCACAAAGTACGTAACGAGAACTAAAAATCAGTACACATTTCGACAATGACATTTCGGTCTCGCAAACGTTACGAATTCGTTATCGGTTCGTGCTAAGGATACAGCATGACCACAGGTTTCCCGTGCTGTGTACAGTTAGTGGAGTCTAGTGCGGGTGTGAGTGGAAAACCCAGCAGTCCCCAGATGTTGCAGCTGGCTTCTACTAGTGTCCGTAGATATCTCAGTAGAAAAATCCTTTGTCTCGCGCGTGAGTCCTTAATGTTACGCTCGAACAGCAGCGCTACCAAATGTTCCCCGTGCTGTGTATAGCGGAGCTGGCGCGTGAGTGCAACCTTTGTTGTTAGTGGAGTCTAGCGTCAACACGGGCGTGGGTGGAAGACCCAACAGTCCCCAGATTTTGCAGCAGGCTTCTACTAGTGGCCGTAGATATCCCAGTAGAAAAGTCCTTTGTCTCACGCGTGAGTGCATTCCTTAAAGTCACATTCTGCCATTCTGTATACTTCCAATGCTAATTTATTGTATTCCTATTTCTGTTGTTATATCTTTATGTCTAAGGGTTAAGAAAATCGATCCTACAGAAAATTCCTAAAGAAGGTGCAGGTTAGAATCCTGTCTGAATATCTGACCCAAGTGGAACTTTTCTAGTACAATTCTATCATTTAGTCATCCAAGTCAATAAACTTTTTCCTTCCTATATTCCAGGTCAATCGGAACTAGGTGCCGTAGTACCAGTTCTATTTCTGAACTCAGGTCTTGGCACACCTTTGCTACCTCACACCCTCGAATGCGCAGACTTCAAGGCGGCGCTGGACGCGGCCGAAGATGAAAGCGATAAGGCATTGCTCAACAAGTGGTGAGATTGTGTTTCATCATTATTATGAGCCACTATTATTAATGCCCCCACTGCTCCCGATGGATGGAATAGGGAAATTGGGCCATGACCCACCACGCGGGCCCTTTGTGGATTAGCCAACGACTGCAGATGCAGTCGGGACCAACGGCTTAACGTGCCTTCCAAAGCACGGAGGAACTCGAGATAGAATATTTTTGGTCACTCATCTAATGACCGACCACTGCGAAAGTTGCTTAACTTCAACGATCGCAGCCGAACCACCCGCGCCTTCGAGCTCCTCCTCCGGCGCTGAACGCCGCCGAAGATGAAAGCGATAAGGCATTGCTCAACAAGTGGTGAGATTTTGTTTCATCATCATTATGAGCCTTCTAGCCTTAGAAATAAATGTTGAGGAAGCAAATGCCTGATGGAAATGGCAGAAATTCCATACACTACACTGACAAGACCGTTACGTTAAATGCAGAGAGAAATGCCTCATATTAGTACGCAAATGGGAAGTGATTCTCGGTTTTTGTTTCATCATGAATAATATTGTTATAGCCTTAGAAATATTGAGGAAGCAAATTCTTCATGATAGAAATCAAATGAAAAGCAATTCTTGGCCATCATTTAATCGCTAATAATGACAATTCCCGGGCTCCTGACACACAAATTAATATAAAATTATTCCCCATTGCAGGAGCACAGGCCTTCCTTATAAATAGAATAAAATATAAGATTAGCATTAGAATTATTAAGGTAGCAAATGACTTATGATAGGTAACATGCAGAAGCAAATGAGAAGCAATTCTTGGTCACAATACGGTATTTTCCAAAATTTTGCAACTAAACAGGGAGAAAAACCAACTGAACGATTTAACAACCTCTCATTGTTGCTATCCAGGTACAGCCTAGACGCAACTAAATAAGGAGAAAAACCAACTCAATGAATTAACAACCTCTCATTGTTGCTATCCAGGTACAGCCTAGACGCAACTAAATAAGGAGAAAAACCAACTCAATGAATTAACAACCTCTCATTGTTGCTATCCAGGTACAGCCTAGTCGCAACTAAACAGGGAGAAAAACCAACTCAATGAATTAACAACCTCTCATTGTTGCTATCCAGGTACAGCCTAGTCGCAACTAAACAGGGAGAAAAACCAACTCAATGAATTAACAACCTCTCATTGTTGCTATCCAGGTACAGCCTAGACGCAACTAAATAAGGAGAAAAACCAACTCAATGATTTAACAACCTCTCATTGTTGCTATCCAGGTACAGCCTAGTCGCAACTAAACAGGGAGAAAAACCAACTCAATGATTTAATAACCTCTCATTGTTGCTATCCAGGTACAGCGTAGACGCAACTAAATAGGGCGAAAATCCAACTCCATGAATTAACAACCTGTCATTGTTGCTATACAGGTACAGCCTAGTCGCAACTAAAAAATCTTTGACGACCTCCGTGGCCGATTTGTTTGTACGCCGGGTTTCACGGTGTCGCCGACTAGAGATGTCCCGGGTTAGAATCCCGTTGGGGGAAGATGTTTGTGTGATGAACACGAGCATTTGCTCGAGCTCGCCAGTCATGGATGTTTAATATGTATTTCTATTTAAATATACTTACACAAGCCTTATTTGAATGTTGGGAATATTTATTTCATTTATTATTATTAACTAAACAGGGTGAAAAACCAACTCAAAAGCCTTTACCCAACATAGTTAACTATCTGCTTTGTAAGTCCTGTAATTGTGTATGTGTGAGTAATAAAGAGTGTATCTATCTAGCTCAATGAATTAACAAGCTATCATTGTTGATATCCAGGTACAGCCTAGACGCCAGCACCACGCCTCCTTGTTACCGGCTGGTACGAGGAGCCCCGGCCCGCTGGCGACGAGAGATGGCCAAGACTCTTAACGTATTAGTACGCACGTTACCGCAGGAAGCCTGCGACGCGTACCTTACTACTGTAGTGGAACAGGTATTTATTGAAGCGGAGCATCAATGGAATCATCATCAATCAATAAAATTAACTGTTTTTTTTATTATTAGCATAGATGTGCTGATGAGAATTGATATTTTGATTGACGACCTCCGTGGCCGAGTGGTTTAAGCACCGGGTTTCATAGTGTCCCCGACTTGAGGTAGTTCGAATCCCGGTGGGGGCAGATGTTTGTGTGATGAATACTAGCATTTGTACTCCAGTCATGGATGTTTAATATGTATTTCTATATAAATATACTTATATATGTACAGTATATGTATTCTATCCGTTACCCTAGTATCCCATAACACAAGCCTTACAGTGCTTACTTTGGGGCTAGGCTAATTGGTGTGAGTGTTGGAAATATATTTAATATGTAAACAACAATTTTCTTCATACAAAACAAGTGTTTTCTTTTATATCTCTTTTTAAAAAAAAAGGTTTTGATAGCCCATCGTCATGTTTCTGAAATGAAAGCGTTTAAATTGCTAAAATATGGGGAGTTCACAACGAGTAAAACACGTTTGAAATATCCCGTTATTATAATATATATTTGATTACATAATGTTACAATGTTTTAGTTTGCGGAATTTAAAAAGTAAGAAAATTCATAATTTACCAGTCAAATCTCAAATCACGCACACGCGGTAAGCGGGCCATTGGCATGCTTCACTCACGATTAGATGAGGTTATGTCCGTTTTTTTTTCAGGTCCGTGCTTGAATAAATATAAATTAAGAAAATTGAAAATATGTCACCCCCGGTGCCGCCGTCAGGAATGGTACCCAATAAACTTTTTTTTGGAGTTTAGTCCTTAAGAATCGATTTGCATATATAAGGGGCCCGGTATGAGAAAAATGTGAGGAGTAAAATCTATCGATGAATGACATTAATGACCTCGTTACGTTTTTGTGCGCAACCTCATCTGCGCACCTTTCACTTTTAGCCATGGCAACGGATAAAAAACATTAAGTTGTCACAAATGTCAATAAAATAAATAAACTAAAAAAGGGATAATATCGGAGCAAAATTAATGAAAACAAATAAATAACAGAATATAGAGAAATGCCGGTAAGTGGCCAGCACTCTCGAATAGTGATTTTCAGTACAGATGGAATTATAACACATATTTACAAAATGATGACTAGTGTGTGATATTTTTGAAATTGTGTGTTTCCAGAAATACATAATAAAATATATGATGTATATCGCTGATGTTAGATGATAAAATGTGTGACATGGAACCTATGATAGTCGAAACCTTGGGACGATTCCTGAGGTATCTCTACTTGTAACCGACTTCTTCGGACTTGATTTTGTTTTGTGTCTGTTCATAGACAATCGTTTTTAGAGTGTAAACTCGGAGCTGACACACACATTTTTTTATTTATGTATAGATGGGCTGATGATCATGTGTGTATGTTTGACAGGAGGTGCAGCACACAGTATTGCTGAGCGTCGAAGCAGCGCGGCGCTGCGTGTGGGTGTGGAGAGCAGGGGCTGCTCAAGAACCGGAGCCGGCGGACAGAGCTCATCATCATGAGCTGCAGAGGAGGCTGGCTAACATGCAGAAGGACCTTAAGGTATGGTACTATCGCGGAATTTTGCGCTCTGTCACTTGGCGAACAAAATGCTTTGAACGATTTTTTATAGTAGTTTTTACTACGCCCCGCCTTCGCGTCGGACGCGCCAATCCGGGCCGCCGCACAAAAGTAAGACAGACAGTATTTCATCGATTGAATAATGAATTGAATTGCATTTGTTTTAGTTGCAATTTGTCATCCGCATCGTGATCGCGACAGCGCTATACGAAAAAGTAAGACAGCGATAATTACATGTCAATGAATGAATTTTTACTACGCCGCTACCGCAAGCGATTATGGCATTATGGGTGACAGAACGGGTCTTCCCGCGATTGTACGAGAGGAAAATCTTCAAATAAGTTCTATAGTATCACAGCAAAGCCCTTTTGGTTGTACTACAAAGAATAGGGTATTTGACAAGTTTTAGAAAACGATATCACGTTTGGTCACGCCACAAAACAAAACAAATTCCCGGCGCGGATGTGCGATTATATACAAGAAGAAAACACAAAAACTAGAGGGAAACTGTGGGAAAGGGGGTACCTGTTGGTTTGTTGGGCTGGTTCCTTGACGCCTGTTCTTCCTGTCCTGGAAATGTTCGCCTGTGGCGCGCCACTATTTCTTTTTTACACTAATGTTCGCGGGATGTTCGCGGGCCCCGGGGCGGAAATATGTGTAGGCGAAAAGCGTCTCCGGAGCGCGGTTTTTTTTCTCGTCGTGGGAGTTTCTTGGTGTCTCCTCTCGGCGATCAGAGCACACAAAAGGCCGTTGCCCTTTTTTCGTCCGTTGGTTCGAATTGCAGCGATGGCAGCGCCGCGGACGAAGTCGACAACAGGTGAGTTTAGAGGAAGGGATAAGGTAAATGTGTTTTCGCAAGCTTACGATAGATGGCGTTAACATATCCACCCCCCCTTAAAGGGTCACCTTTAAAACAATCATAATAAAGGCGAGAATAACAATAATCTAAACACTTACTTGTGTTATAGCGAATTAAGCGGAATTTACTAACTGTCGAAAATATATATACTTACATACATTAAACTACATATTATACTTAATCTTAAATTATTATTCTAATTTTAGTGTAAAGTGTAGTTGTGATAAATATATTATTGAGTTGGTAAAGGACATAAACGAACAACCGGGCGTGTATACGTTCCTCTAGGGGTTCTGACAGTAGCTACGCGCACGATACCATCCTTAGAAGGGTGAATTTTTTCTACTACTGCCAGAGGCCAAGAGAGAGGTGGCGCATTATCTACTATTATGACCACTATCACGCCGAGGGTGATAGGAGCGGAGAGCGTATTCCACTTCTGTCTAACTTGAAGGCTGTGGACATATTCTACACTCCATCGCTTCCAGAACGACTGTACCAACTTGTCTAATAAAGAATGTCTCTGAAGTAGAGAAACTTTATCTGTAACCTCAGGTGCGGGTAGTGACGGTAAAGGGAAATTATTTAAAAAATGGCTGGGAGTCAAAGCCGTAGGCTCCGAAGGATCCGAGCTTAACACGGTAAGTGGACGCGAATTTAGTAAACATTCTATCTGTGTTAAAACCGTAAGCAATTCCTCATAAGAAAGGAGTTGCTGTCCTATTACCTTATAAAGGTGATTCTTTATCACTTTCACCATGCTCTCCCAACATCCACCAAAATGACTAGCGGAAGGGGGGTTGAACCTCCATTCTATTTGATTCCCCGAAAAGAAATCTTCGAAATATGAGGTTTGATTGCGTAAAAATCGATAAAAATCTCTCAAATATGAATTCGCGCCGACAAAATTCGTACCATTATCAGAGTACATGCATTTCACGGGACCGCGACGAGATAACAACCTTTTAAAAGCTGCGAGAAAGGTAGGAGTGCTTAGGTCGGTTACCAATTCAATATGAACAGCGCGAGTCGTGAGGCAAGTGAACACGCATATATATGCCTTTTCGGATCGAACACCTCTACGGCGGACTGGCGTATACGAGATGGGGCCGGCGTAGTCACATCCCGTATGCGTGAACGGCTTTATAACGGGACGAACGCGGAAATCGGGCAAATCTGCCATTAATGGAAGGATAGGTCGCGGTTTGGCGCGGAAGCAAAGATTACATTTGTGTATGCGCTGGCGTAAAATGCGGCGGGCGGACATGATCCAATATCTTTGTCTGAGCAAAGACATAAGCAGTTCGGGCCCAGCATGCAGGTATGTACGATGATAATAATCTACGATTAAATGCACTATATGATCGTGTCGCGGTAATATAAATGGATATTTTTGAGCGTACTTAAGGGCAGAATTTGAAAGCCGACCACCTACTCGAATTACATCGTTCTCAATGAACGGGTGAAGTTTATTAAATGCGGGTGAACAAGGTTCAGCACTCTTAAGCTTTGAAATCTCGTCAGCGAAATACACGTGCTGTAACACTTTAATAATTTGAACTTCGGCGAAACTCAAATCGGCCGCCGTAATAGTTGCGGATGCGCGGCGTTGCAACTTTCTCGCAAATCGAAAAATATAAACTGTTATACGGAGGAGTTTGCTCCATGATGATTTGCGAAGAGCAAGAGCGTAAATTACAGACTCCCTAGCGGGGGCGGTAGCGGTATAAACACATAACTTCTGTTCCGGCACTTCGGAGACGGAAGTTAGAAAATCTCCATCGTTGAATGGCCAAAGTGAACAATCGGACAAAAGCCATGGTGGACCATGAAACCAGAGGGGATGCTTCACTAGTTTCTGTGGCGTTAGGCCACGCGATAAACAATCGGCGGGGTTTTCGGACCCGGCGACGTGATGGAAATTTTCGGCAGGAATATTTTCGGTCACTTTGACGACACGATTTGCGACGAATGTCTGCCAACGATGGGGTAAACTCTTTATCCAGTAAAGCGCTACCTTAGAATCGGTAAAAGCGAAAATATTTATATTTAATGTGGCGGCATAATTATTTAAGACCGTACGCATTAATTTTGCGAGAAGCACAATCCCACAGAGCTCCAATCTAGCGATAGTATGAGGGGTAGTTGGCGCGACCTTAGACTTCGCGCAGACCAACCGTACTGTGACACCTCTGTTAGTTTCTACGCGTAGGTACACTACACCACCATACGCGCTTTCACTTGCGTCTGAAAATCCTATTAAGGAAATGACGCAATTGCCAGCGACGCCGACGTGACGCGGGATGCGAATATCGTTTAAAGCTAGAAACTCGGAACGGAACTGTAACCACTGTTTGACCAATTCCGAAGGGGGAGCTTCGTCCCAATCGACTCCTAGTTGCCATAAGCGCTTTATGATAAGTTTCGCGTACAACACAGTCGGTGCGATAAAACCAGTGATATCCCACAACCTCGCCACGGTGGATAAAATTGATCTTTTGGTACAAGTGTTATCGGTGGGGACCGATACATTAAAATAGAATTCATCAGAGTCCCTACACCAATATAGACCAAGTATTTTAGAAGGCGCGTGCTTGTCAAACTCAACGGCGGTGGTGAGCTTGTGAGTATCAGGAATGGTGTCTAGTACAGCATTTGAATTGCTGTTCCATTTTACTAAGTCCCATTGAGCTTCCTTGAACATATCGATCAGCTGTTTACTGGCCGCAATGGCTTGTTCGCTACTGGGGCTTGAGTAGGCCAAGTCGTCCATATACAACGACCGAGAAGCTATATCTCGCGCGAGGGGGTACTTATCCCCATGGTTGCTAATTAACTGACGAACGCAGCGTAATGCGTGAAACGGGCTTGACTTGAGACCAAAACAAACTCGATTAAATTCATAAAGCATCAGAGGCTCTTGCGGATTAAATCGATAAAATATTTTTAGAAAGCGACGATCGCAATCGCGTATTATTATTTGTAAAAACATTTGTCGACAGTCCGCACTCATAGCTATAGCATGTAGACGAAAATTTAAAATAAATCGCCCTGTAGATTAGGGCCACCGTGCAGAATATCGTTGAGCGAAATATTAGTCGACGTTTTACAGCTCGCGTCTAACACGGGTCGCAGCGGTTTGTCATCACGGGCTACGCCGTGGTGCGGAATAATATACGACGGAAGAGTGGGGTCTTCCGCGCGAGCGGGAGATAAATATTGTTTATCAATGTACTCATTGATAGCGGCATCATAAGCGGTGCGCAATTTGGGAGACGCTTCTAACTTGCGCTCTAAACACAAAAATCGCTAGCGAGCGATGAACTCGGAATTCCCGAGGGAATAAGCGTCCTCACGAAAAGGTAACGCCACGACGTATCGGCCACTGGTAGGATCCCTTACAGTGGTGGAACAATAAAATTCTTCACATTCAACGTCATCCGGACGTTGAATGGACGGCGAAGGTACTTCTTCTAATTCCCAGAACCTTTTTAAAGTCATTTCTATAGATTCGGGAGCGGTGATAGCACAACACGAGGTGAGCGGTGACGACGCGTCGGCGCGGTGGTAAGCGGTGGGTACGGAACCCATAATAATATAACCCAACACTGTATTAATCGCGGGGGGCGCCGAGCCGTTGTGGTGGAGTACATCGGCTAATAATAAATGCGGAAACAACGAGGCGCCTATCAAAACATCTATTTTGTCAGGTATCGAAAATGATTCGTCTGCCAATGGCAAGTTGAGAAAATGTGGCAACGAAGATTTGTCAACCACAGCGGAAGGTAAATTTTCAGTGATTTTCTCAACAATTAAACAATTTACATTAAAATTTATATTTGCATTAAACCGAGAAGAAAATTTAAAGTTAGCGGAATTATTTACGATATTCTCGGAACCTCCAAAACCTTTGATTAACGTTCGCTTTATTTCGTTAGTTTGTATACCTAAACGCTCGCAACATTGCTTAGTTATAAAATGGCTTTGCGAAGCGGTGTCCAACAGAACACGAACGGTGTGTTTGTTATGAGACAAGTCATAAGAATAAACTTGCGCGGTCGCTAATAATATAGTTGTGTGCGGTGTGCATTGCGTAGTATCAGCGAAACAGTCACGCGGTGTCTTACTGGAGCGATGTAATGAATCACTAGACGTAGCGCATAGCGTTACGTCTGTATTAGTCAACGACGTAGGCTGTGTGCGCGTGAGCGATGCAGCTGTGTCGGCTGACGTCACCGGTGCGCCTGGATTCGTTGTTATGTTGGAAAAATGCAATAGTGTGTGATGTTTCGATTTGCACACACGGCAACACATACTTGAATTACAAGCCGAAACTTTGTGTACTGTACTAAGACAGTTTATACATGCGTTTAAATCTTTAGCCACTTTAAAACGTTCCAAAGGAGATAATTTATTAAAGTTTGAACATTTAAATAAATGTTGATGTGTGAAATTACTACACATGCATTTGGAGGCCGGAGAACCGCGGGCGCTGTTCACAACAGAATTAACAATATATGATTGATAGTTTGGCGGCGAATTATTATTATTCTTAATATTAGAGCGCGAGCGAATATTTCCAATTGTTTGTTTCGAACAGGTGGCGGTGTAGGTGGCTACTGCCGTACGAATTAATATTTTTGACTGATTTTGCATAAAATTTACTAAATCATTGAATGTAGGTAGTTTGGAAGAATCGGTTTTTTGTTCGAAATTACGTACTGTCTCAGTGTCTAATTTTCTCAACGCCAACTGCAAAACAATAATATCGCTAAGGTCGTTTACCTTGATATTTTGGAGTGCGCGGACTGAATTTACGAAATTTTCAAGAAAGGCATCGTAATTTACAACCGATGCGCTTTGTATGGGTTTAAAATCTAATAAATTGTTTATATGTGAACTGACTAAAGTACGCTTGTCCTCATACTTTTCTACTAGCGTTTGAATAATTAAATCATAATTTTCTGCGCAGGGGGTAATCCCGGCGCAAGCGGTTTGAGCCTTACCCGAAATTTTACCTAACAAATAATAAAGTTTCTCAGCGTCTGAAAGCGATGGGTTTTCGTGAACAGTAGACTTATAACTAGCGAAGAACAGAGGCCACTTGCGTATGTCTCCGTCAAACGACACGAGTTCTAACGGTGGTAAGGAGGGACGCGTTTTACGCGGTGCATCTTCACTCTTCTTCTCGGCAAGCAGATCGCGGCTATGAATGGTCACCAATCTCTTAACCCGGCCGTATAGTCGTTCGAATGCGACAAAGCTTTTGTAATCTACTGCAAAGTTCGGTTTCTCTTTTAGTAAATACCTGTTGTACTCATCTTATAAGTTTTTAAATTCAGAACGTAATGTGTCAATGTTACTACTAGCATCGAGGAAAATTTCCACGCCTTGATTACCGGGTCCTAGTGTATTTGACAAGTCATAAATCTCTTGCATGCATTCAAATAAGGCATTACGCTTAGCTTCCAACATAAGTAATTTTTGATTTTGCGTACTAGGCGAATCCTTTTTCGGGTCCATTATGAATGCAAACAAATGACAAATGCGTAAGTAATTAAATATGTAAGCGTTGTTGTTTTTATTCTATGCACCTTTATAAAATATCCAATCACGGGTAAATAAATGTGACAAATATCAAATATGTAGGTACTTTGAAATGTAGGTATACTTATAATGGTTAAGTATTTACTGGAACCTTTAATTAATTATATAAATACATATGGGTGTTATAATAATTTGTATTGTTCTCCTATTAGATGAATAATTTTATTCTAATGGGGCGGTAGATATATATATGAGCGAGCCACGACACCGTGCTTTCGTTTTATGAGAACGAAAATGCGTTGCGGGCTTATAATACGAAAAATAAGCGAAAATATATATAATATGTACAATATTGGAGCGGATAAATACTCTTACTGGGTAAATACCAGTAAGGGCGGGTGGATGAATGCGGCTGAAGGACCACTAAATAATGGTCACGCCACAAAACAAAACAAATTCCCGGCGCGGATGTGCGATTATATACAAGAAGAAAACACAAAAACTAGAGGGAAACTGTGGGAAAGGGGGTACCTGTTGGTTTGTTGGGCTGGTTCCTTGACGCCTGTTCTTCCTGTCCTGGAAATGTTCGCCTGTGGCGCGCCACTATTTCTTTTTTACACTAATGTTCGCGGGATGTTCGCGGGCCCCGGGGCGGAAATATGTGTAGGCGAAAAGCGTCTCCGGAGCGCGGTTTTTTTTCTCGTCGTGGGAGTTTCTTGGTGTCTCCTCTCGGCGATCAGAGCACACAAAAGGCCGTTGCCCTTTTTTCGTCCGTTGGTTCGAATTGCAGCGATGGCAGCGCCGCGGACGAAGTCGACAACAGGTGAGTTTAGAGGAAGGGATAAGGTAAATGTGTTTTCGCAAGCTTACGATAGATGGCGTTAACAACGTTATTGACTTATGTTTATGGAGTCCGTAAAAAGTGGATATTCATCATTCTGTTGTGTATTTCAGTAAAAATAACCAAATCAAAAACTCCATTTTCAAGTTACCGCGAAAACGTTTCTCTGGACAATATGGCGTATTACTAGTGTGTGACGTCGCACGACTGTTATTAAAACGTCAAACGATACAATGTTAAACCTTTAACCGGAAGTTTACTTGCGTGTGACGTCATTTTAGGCTCCGCCAATCCCAAGCGTTTTGGGTCACGTGACAATAGATAAGAAAACTATTATCTTTATCGTTAGTTTTTAGTAAAATCATGATTTTTTTTTGTTAAAATAGTAAAAACCCCTGCCAATATTCATTCTAAACACAGATGCTAACAATTGGCACTTTATTTTTAACACTGTCAAATATAGGGTATTTGACGAGGATTTAAACTTTGTTTTTCATATTTTACATGGGGTTTTTTTCCATAAACTCGTGTTAAACGCATGACTAACATTTTTGTGCTTATAATAAGCTTAACTTTTTTTTGACATACACCTTTTTAATATCACACTAACATTATAAAGGCGAAAGTTTGTGAGTGTGTATGTTTGTTACTTCTTCACGTCTAAACGGCTAGAGCGATTTTAATAAAATTTGGTATGGAGTTAGCTGACACCCTGGATTAACACGTAGGCTACGTTTTACTGCGGGAAAATATCCCTAATTAACCGTGGGTAACACCGCGGGGCACAGCTAGTTATTATTATAAGAGTCCGAAAACATTAATTACTACATGTTTCCTGGGACGATGGAATCCAGACCCGAAGATAGCTGGTAAAAAACAACCACAGCCTTATTTAATTAGAGTATCTATTTGTTTACATGGATTGTTATAGAAATTGTGATAAAAATAATCAATTATATTATAATATACCTGTTAAATATCGCTCATTTCATCATCATCATCATCACCCTATTAATGTCCCCTCTGCTGGGGCACAGGCCTTCTTTATGGATGGAATAGGGAGATTAGGCCATGACCCACCACGCGGGCCCAGTGCGGATTGGTGGGTGTTAACAACTGCAGGTGCAGCCGGGACCAACGGCTTAACATGCCTTCCAAAGCACGGAGGCGCTCGAGATAGTAAATTTTTGGTCACCTATCCAATGACCGGCCACTGCGAAAGTTGCTTAACCTCAACGATCGCAGCCGAACGCGCTAACCACTTGCGCCATCGAGCTCCTCATCGCTCATTTGTCCCCGCGGAAATTCAATACTTCTATTCGCATCGGTATCTTCAGTAACCATTTTTTTAATTATTATTAAATGTTTGCTATTGCATCACAATTGTTTTGAAAAAACTATCCGTATTATCTCTTATCTATTAGACAAGTCCGTCCGTCCGTCTGTCTGTGGTGCTGTTTCAGCGGCCAAACCGTAAGAGATAGATAAAGAGAATATTTAAGTTATAAGTTAAGAATAGTCTGATAAGACTACAAACCGGATTTGAGTAACGCAGCACTTCCGGTTTTCGAGAAATCACGAATCACACAAAATCTCCGAAGTTCTCAATTAATTAAATACATTTTTTTTTTTTAAATCAGGTTTTGGTGAACATTTGGTTCACTGGTTTGCTAGTATTGTATATATTGCCGTATATAATAAAAATCACTCCATCAAACTTACAATCTCTTATTTCACTGAATGAGTTTTTCAAAGACACCATGAACGAACATGTATGGTAGATCGTAACATGATACTTTTGCTTCACTTTATTTTTAATTAAATTAATCACATTTGTAAGCGTCAATAAATTTAAAGCTACTATTAAAGGAGTTCTTATTAATAAAGTCTATTATAAGGTGTCTGATTATCTTCTTCTTCTTCTTCCATTGCCTCTTCAATCCTGAAGGTTGGCCGTTAGCTTCCTGTATTCATTTCTACCAGCAGCTAGCCGGAGCAGCCGTTCGACGGAGGCAATACCGGTCCACTCCCGGATATTCCGGAGCCATGACTGCTTTCTTCGCCCAGCACGTCTCTTTCCGTCCACTTTGCCCATCATTATCAACTGCAGCAGCATGTATCTATCGTTTCTGAGCACGTGGCCGAGATATTCTATCTTGCGCTTTTTGATAGAAGGCAACATTTTCCGGGACATATGAACGCGCTGAAGCACGCTTTCGTTTCTGTCCCTCTGCGTCCAACTAATTCGTAAATGCGACGGTAGCACCACATCTCGAATGCCTGTAGGCGTCTTGTAGTGTCTTCTTTCAGGGCCCACGTTTCGCAACCATATATGACATCTGGCCTATATGCCTGATTATATATCAGACATTAATGCTTGGGTTTAATCTGTTCCAAACGTTCCGGCAGGCTTTTTCTATATTTATTATGATGAAAATGATATGATTTTGTATTAACACCGTTACTATCTAATATTTAATAAATATTTTTATGTAATTATTTAACGCTGTGAAGTTTTTTTTTCGCCAGTTTTTCTCCACAGCTAAAAAAAATCCTTAACTGGTGGTAGAGCGAAAAAAATATTGACGATTAAAAAGAGTTGTATTGTGTATCCAATTTGTAATAAGATGTTTTGACTTTTTGACTAACTGAAAACTGAAATCAGTTCTTGTAAATCCACAGCAACACTTGAGCGAGCGGAACATAATTCGGGCGAGCATTCGCGGGCGTTCGGCGCCCGGCGGCGAGGACGAATACACGGAGGGCGTTCGCGCGGCGCTCGGCGAACGACTGGACGCCCTTTTAGATTCGTTGATCGCGGAGAATGAAGTTCCGGCCGGCTGCAACGGAATACCTACAAGGTGCGTTGTGAGATAGTCATCAAAAATTTTTATTTGTTTATTTTGAATACAAGGAAGGCCAACAGCTTTTCTTAAGAGGGGAGGCGGGCAATGTTTTTTGAAGTGAAAACTTCTTTAGCGGCGTTGTACACTTTTTTTTTGTATGGGTAATAAAAATGTTCAACTCGCGTCAGGTTAAACACGTGGGCTGATCGCATCATGACACACAATAAAAGTGGAAAGGTTGTTGACTTTCAATATAATGGACGAATAATAAATCTCTATCTAGGACGTCCACGTGGCAGCTTTATTGCGAATAAAATGCATTTTTTTTACAATAAATGTCGCTAGGTGCGCTTAAATGTGATTTATGTAAGTTGATTTCTTTACAATAGATGTCGCTAAGTGCGCTTAAACGTGATTCATGTAAGTTGATTTTTCTGAAAGATAAACTTTTTTAATGTAATATAAATTGTCATGTTTGTGTACGATAGCGCAATAAATAAATATTGTATTTTACCACATAGATGATAGTACTTTTATACTGATAATTAAAGCAATTCGTGCAAAATTATTCCCTAACCATTCCAAAATATCGAAAAATGCACAACGTTAATATTCAAGTTTTCACTTCTGCCGGCACTCCCGGAGAGTAACCCGTATTTTTTTTTCATACAAACGTTCTTAACTGATTGCTCCCTGATTTCTATCACTAAATAATTAATTGTCATACTTAAAATATGAGTTTGCTCATTCTATGCTCCTATGTCCTCCTTTTTTCAATAGCTTATGTTTCAAAGAAACTGGAAGCCCTCGAAAAAGGCCAAAAAAAACAAAATTTTGTCACCAATAAAGACTAGTCTAGTGTGGAGATTAAATAAGCATTTACATGTATCTAATTTTCGAGAAGGAAATCGTCGAAAACCAAACCTGGAATTTTGCAATTTTTATACTCAATTTTCAGAGTTAACTACTGTTGTCCCTATCGCACGGTATTTGCCAATGCGTGACAGCAATAGTTTTTTCAATTACCTTTTTCTCAAATGTCTCTCAGCTCGCGTCCGCTCTTAACAAAGTAGAAATTAACGCAAGTAGCGATAGGTGCTTAGTTTTATCTGTATATATAACTTAAAGTTAAAAAGAAAGAAATCTGTCCAATCTAAAAATACTCTTAAATATAGTTATGTAAATATGGTCTTAATTATGAATATCAGAACAACAATTACGCACTTGTTAATAGGGTATTTGACAAGTTTTAGAAAACGATCTCACGCTATTGACTAATGTTTATGGAGTCCGTAAAAAGTGGGCATTCATCATTCTGTTGTGTATTTCAGTAAAAATAACCAAATCAAAAACTCCATTTTCAAGTTGCCGCGAAAACGTTTTTCTGGACAATACGGCGTCTTACTAGTGTGTGACGTCACACGACTGTTATTAAAACGTCAAACGATACAATGTAATGTCACTTTAACTGGAAGTTTACTTGCGTGTGACGTCATTTTAAGCTCCGCCAATTCCAAGCGTTTTGGGTCACGTGACAATAGATAAGAAAACTATTATCTTTTACGTGAGTTTTTAGTAAAATTATGATTTTTTTTCCGTAAAAACGATTGCTCGTGTGCATGAAGTGTTATTAGCACTTGTTTTATAGGTCCATATCTATTTGTATACCTTATTTAAGGTGAAAATGTAGTGATACTGACAAAAATTGTATATACTTACCATGTAAACAGTAACCTACGTTTCACAAATACAATTCTGATTCTTATTCTAATAAGATTTTCCGCTTCTTCCGCAGTTTGTTCGATGAAATCAACGAGCATCTCAGTTTCTGTCAGAAAGCTGCCCAGTGCACCTCCAACAGGGAGGTCACGCTCAATGAACTAAAGTCGTAAGTAATAACACCTTATAAGGTGTTATAGTCAATAAGTGGTTTTGTAATACATAGATAGATAATGCGTTTATTTTTTTTTTCTTCAACATACATATACATTTACAGACAGAGTAATACAATAAAAAAAGATACAAGAAATCAGCTATGAAATATCCATATGTATGCTGCAGAAAGCAAAAGGCCGAGGCTCGGCTAAACATTTGCCAGTTTTCAGGCAAAATACCGATTTTCAGCCATCACCTTAATAGCTTAGAAATCTGCTTGAAGGACCATCGATACATCATCATCAGTGTATTAATGTCCCCACTGCTGGGGCACAGGCCTTCCATATGGATGGAATAGGACGATTGAGCCATAACCCATCACGCGGGCCCAGTGCGGATTGGCGGGTGCTAACGACTGATGCAACCGGGACCAATGGCTTGCCGTGCCTTCCAAAGCACGGAGGAACTCGAGATAGAAGAATTTTGGTCACCCATCCAATGACCGACCTCTGCGAAAGTTACTTAACTTTAACGATTGCAGCCGAATGCGCTAACCAACCGCGCCATCGAACTCCCGACCATCAACTGCAAATAAATAATTAATTAATGATTAATGTTTCTACTGAAGGCAAAAGCCTTTTCTTAGGGCAGCGTCACTTATGGTAAACGAGTCGTTATCCACCTTGTAGCTCAGTTTGGATTTGAGGATGTAAATAACTGTACAGATCTAGCCGGAACCAAAGACCTAACACGCCTTCCGAAAACATTAAGAGCGAGTTTTCTTCTAAAAGAGTCATTTGCCTTGTTTATGCAGCCACGCGGCTGGCCTACGTTGCCACCGACTTACTGTGGCCACTATTCCTACACGAACAAAGAAATTTGGTACTTTGTCGTACTATTCGTAAGTGGAATTTTTTGCCCGCGCACGTGCTCCCTCCTTCCTACAATCTGGGGTCCTTTAAGAGAGGCGTGAAGAAGCATTTTTGCTGGTTGGTGCCACAGTTTATAACTGCTGTACCAGCTAGCTTTGCACTTTATCACCACTTAACATCAGGTGGGGTAGAGTCTTTTGGCTACCTCGCTATAAAAAAGGCGGTTTATCTTTGACATTCATAATCGTAATGTATTTGTTGTAGATATATAATGGGGGACAGCAGCGTGCCGCTGGCTTTGATTGGTGGCGCGGGTTGCGGCAAAGCAACGCTTGTAGCACGCGCTCTGTGCCTCGCGCCTTCATGCCAGCAAGATTTGGCTGTAATTGTCAGGTTAGCATACTATAATTATGTGTGTAGATCAAGGAACTTTAAGTGTCGCCGCACACGGGCCACACGCCACAGCCACAAACGCCGCCACGAGAAGCTAGAAGCGGCTACTAAAGTGGCTGAAGCGCGCGACAGCGGCCGACTAAGGTAAGGGAGAGAGGGGTGGGGAATCACGCGAGTCGGCGCATTAAGTGGCCGGTGCGGGCCACAAGAAGCGAGCAACGACGATTTGTAGCGTGTGGCGGCCACCGGCGTACCGTGTGTGGCGAGTCCATATAAAATGTATGAAAACTTTAAGAAATACCCGGTGGCGGCGTTTTGTGGTTGTGGTCGGTGGCCCTCAAAATCAATTCGTGCTAAATATTCCCTAACCATTCCAAAATATCAAAAATGCACAACGTTAATATTCAAGTTTTCACTTCTGCCGGCACTCCCAGAGTGCAACCCGTCGTTTTTTTTTTAATAATTGAACACAAGCTACAATAAAAAGCAACGGTGTTAGGTTTGTATAAGTATAGCTTTATTTTATTTTTTTCACGGACTTATAGTAAGGAAATCCTGTATTATTAAGTGAGCAGCTACTAGTTAGTAAATACTTTGAAATGATAACATTGGCTGTTGGAATCACGGAAAAGCAAGAGGAAATTTTCCTGAACAAAATTTTAATTTCATGACCTTTCTTTCATTGAATATGCTATGTACGCCATGTGTTTTTTTTTTAAATTTCACTAGTTTGATTCCCAGTTGTAGCAGGCGATTTTAAAAGAATCTGTGAATGTAGTTCTAGTTATTCATCATCATCATCAGCCTATTAATGTCCCCACTGCTGGGGCACAAGCCTTCCCTATGGATGGAATAAGGAGATTGGGCCATGCCCACCACGCGGGCCCAGTGCGGATTGGCGGGTGCTAACGGCTGCAGATGCAGCCGGGACCAACGGCTTAACGTGCCTTCTGAAGCACGGAGGAGCTCGAGATAGTAAATTTTGATCACCCATCCAATGACCGACTACAGCGAAAGTTGTTTAACTTCAACGATCGCAGCCGAACGCGCTAACCACTTGCGCCATCGAGCTCCTCAGTTATTATTAAAAATAAAATGATGTCTTCTTTCAGTAAAATATCCTATCTTCAATATTTAATATACTTTCCCTCCGTGTGACAAACCTGTGGGACACCCTGTATAAGGGGGGATAGGCGATTAGGTTGGTTCTAAGAGCTAACTCAGTCGGACAACTTTTCAACGGATAAACAGACGTCACGCAAACGTTGGAACGTTGTCCGTTTTATTTAAGTCGCACGTAACGGCTGCAAAAAGCCCTCGCTTGAAGTCGGTTTCGACTGCTAGTAACAACCAAAGAAATTTGTGTTACAATGAAGCCGTTCGTAGCCATTTCGTAGGTGATACCGCCGACACGCTGCGTCTGTTTTTAGCAGACGTTGCGAGAAGTCGTCCGTGTGAGTTAGTTACAAATTCGTGGAAAGTTGTTCGTCTGAATAAGCACTAAGGCCCGTATTATAGAAAGATTCTCAGTGATTGATCTAGTCTTGAGCATAGTTAGAAAGGGATGTCGCTATATATAGCACATAGCGGCATCCCTTTCTAACTGTACTCAAGTAAAGATCAACATTTAGTTGTCATTCTGTAATACGGGCCTTAAAGTACTATCCAAACTTTATGTCGACTGTGAAGTGAGCGCAAGTCGCGGCGCAGGCAAAAAAACTATGTAACATGATGAAGGAACTCGCGGAATTGTCACTCGCTTCTAACTTCACAATCATCATAAAGAATCTGAGTTTCTTACAGTGTATTTTTTTTTATTTTACTGACAAAGATTCACCAACAACATAAAATTTTACATTACAATTTGAAAAAATATATAAATACCATACTTAAAGATATGCTTTAGACATTGGTCCTTCGAGCAGGATAAAGACTGTGCATTTCGCCCGCAGGTTCGTCGGGCTGACGTCTCAGTCAAGCAGCTCGCATCAACTGCTCAAGTCTATAGTGGACCAGTGTTACGTGCTGCACACCGGATCTGTGTATAGGGGACGTAATGTGAGTAACAATCAACAGACCTTAAATAATTAAAAATAATATTGCGTATTAGAGTGTTTTCTTTGATAATTCGATTCAACTAACAATAGGACCGACTGGGCGCAATATTTTGACGTCATAGCTGTCGATTTAAACCAAATAGGTAGTGAGCAAAAAATTTTGCTATTTAATAAAACTTATTTACTAAGATTAACTGAGACAAAACATCATATTTTTTAATAAAATTAATTTACTAAGGTTGAGAAAGAACACAACCGATTTTTAATAGTATTTCTTTATTAAGACTGTGTGAAAAAAAACATTAATCACAATATAGCTCTTCAATTTTTCAATAAATGAAAAAACAACAACTAATATTTATTATCAACATTTGTTATTGTTTGTTTAAAAATGTTTGATTTTTATTCTAGAATCAGCTGAGTGCTAAAAAAGTGTTCCGAGATTTTTTTGCAACCCGTACTTTTCAAGCGCCATTTGATAGATGGAGGTCATTGGCCTTCCTATTATTATTTGAATCGCATTATAATTGCATGTTGCTAATATTTTTTTTTGGTCTTACACAGTCACGATAAATCAAATGATACCACGCATGTCAAGTCGTTCAGGCTATAGGGCGTGCAAAAGAAACGGACATGCATACAATACATACATAGACTCGAAAAACATTACCCTCCGCAGTCAAGTAAAAATAAGTAAGATTTCGCCATCTGACGACCTCCGTGGCCGAGTGGTTTGTACGCCGGGTTTCATGGCGTCACCGTCTCGAGAGGTCCCGGGTTCGAACCCGGTGGGGGCAGATGTTTGTGTAATGAATACGAGCATTTGTACTCCAGTCATGGATATTTAATATGTATTTCTATATAAATATACTTATATACTTATACAGTATATGTATTCTATCCGTTACCCTAGCATCCCATAACACAAGCCTACAGTGCTTACTTTGGGGCTACGCTAATTGGTGTGAGTGTCAGTGGCGTAGCATGGGGGGGCGGGGGGTGCGGTCCGCACCGGGCGGCACTTTGCCGGGGGCGGCGCTGCGGAGGTGGCAGATAGAGAAAAAAAAAATATAAAAAAAAGTTAATTTCTTTCAGTTTTTTTTCGTCATTTTTTTGTTGTTCTTACCAAATACCCAGGTACCTATGCAGGTTCTATGCATGGGTGATGCAAGCGCAAGGTTGCCATGCCTCAATTTTTTTATAATGGATTGCAAAAATAAGAGGGCGGCAAATTTGGAAACCACAGTGAAATTTCCTGTTTTTAGTAGGTTTAAATTATGCCATGACATTGTGATTCCAACACTACAATAAATGAACTTGGTCCTTCGAGCAGTTTTTTTTTTCATCATAAAATTTTAATGTATTTAGTAATAATATTATTTATGTTGGTCAGGATGTGGTCTCACTAGCAGCGGGTCTGCGTCGGTCGTTGGAAGCGCTGGGTCGCGCACGGCCGACACTACTCGCTATCGTCGGAGCCGACGCCTTACGAGCGGCGAGATGGTTGCCCGAGCGGCTACCCGACAATGTGAAGATGATCGTTACTGTTACTGAAGGTGAGTTAAACATCTAGCATCTTTAACGATACAATTAAAATATAATATACTCTCATAGCACCCATAGGAGACCCATCTTATAATTCACAAGCTGAATTCCCGAGTGGCTTCCCAAAAACGCGGATTTGATGGTCCTGCCTGACTCATATCTTAGGGCTGGGCGTTTTTAGAATAACTTAGGTTGGATACGCGCATCCGATGCGACTGAAAACCGTTATTGGATGCCGATGCCATCTAGTGTTTGTCAAAGTTACTATACCTACAGTGCCACAAACTTATTGGAAAAATTGTAGTTAAATTTTTTGCCACCGGCACAGAAAAGTTTGTGGCACTGGACTGCGTTCAAAAACGACGCTCTGAGAGCAACATTTTAGGTAATCATTTTGCCAATATTATTTTTTTTCAGTTATGTTACGTCAGGAACGCGGCTTTATCGGTAGATGTTCTGAACGTTACCTTTTTACTCTATAGTCTATAGCATTATATATCTATGGGTTTTACTTCCGTGATTAAGATTGTACGATTAATGGCTACGTACTTTGATAATTATACTATTATAAATGTGATTATGATAATAAATAACTACGGTTAATACAACCTGTGCATTTTACTACACATACACCACAGAATTGGCGACGAGGATGAAAAATCAAAATGACGACGGAACAAGTGCTATTACAACTTGTCGAAACACTCAAGTCGATGCAGAAAAGAACAGATTGCGATAGGAACTAAATATGGCATAATGATAAAATACAAAACAGCGTGTGTACAGAGTACGCATCTCAGAAGTGAAACGAACTTTCCTAATAATGATTATAAAAATATATATTAACATAATTACATACCTACAATGCGAAGAGATGGTGCTGCCTTGCAGCTTAAGGCTAGGAAAATTTCGACGCGGCTAATAGGGCCGCGGTAGCATAATGGTCAGTGCATTCGCCCGGATAGCGAAGGATGCGGGTTCGAGTCCCGTCCGCTGCCTAGTCCGCGTGGATTTTTTTCTAGTAAAACTTTTCTTTAGATTTAAACATCTAGCAGTTAAATGCTTAAAAAATAAATAAAATCATAACTATAATTACATAATTTAAAAAACATAATTAACACTGGTATAGTAACTCCTCTATTGTATCACAGAAAAAGACGAGCCTTCCAGTTCCGCCATAATGGCGGTGCTGTCTTCCGAGGACGGTCCTAAGATAGTCCGGGCCCCACCTGTCGGGCCGGAAGAAGCGAAGGCAGCGTTAGCCGCTTGCGCTGCCACCTATAGCAAAACTGGTGCCGCTTCGCCTCCAGAAGCGGCCGTTAAAGCCGTACAAAAATGCACCTTACCCCTCTATGCTAAGGTCAGTATTCGTTTACTTCTGCTCTTCTAGAGTTGTCAGCTAAAGTGTCCATAAGAAGGCAGTACTAGTAGCTTGTGCTGCCACCTATAGCAAAACTGGTGCTGCTTCACCTCCAGAAGCGGCTGTTAAAGCTGTACATAAATGCACCTTACCCCTCTATGCTAAGGTCAGTATTCGTTTACTCCTGCTCTTGTCAAATTGTCGGCTAAAGTTTCCATTAGAAGCGTAAGATGGCAGTACTAGTAGCTTGTGCTGCCACCTATAGCAAAACTGGTGCCGCTTCACCTCCAGAAGCGGCCGTTAAAACTGTTCAAAAATGCACCTTACTTCTCTATGCTAAGGTCAGTATTCGTTTACTCCTGCTCTTGTCGAGTTGTCAGCCAAAATGTCCATAAGATGGCAGTACTAGTAGCTTGTGCTGCCACCTACAGCAAAGCTGGTGCCGCTTCACCTCCAGAAGGGGCTGTTAAAGCTGTACATAAATGCACCTTACCCCTCTATGCTAAGGTCAGTATTCGTTTACTCCCGCTCTTATCAAATTGTCAGCTAAAGTTTCCATTAGAAGGGTAAGATGGCAGTACTAGTAGCTTGTGCTGCCACCTATAGCAAAGCTGGTGCCGCTTCACCTCCAGAAGCGGCCGTTAAAGCCGTACCAAAATGCACCTTACCTCTCTATGCTAAGGTAGTATTCTTTTACTCCTGCTCTTGTCGAGTTGTCAGCCAAAGTGTCCTTAAGAAGGGTAAGATGGCCGTGCTAGTCACCTGTGCTGCCACCTATAGCAAGACTGGTGCCGCTTCACCCTCAGAAGCGGCCGTCAAAGCCGTACAAAAATGCTCTTTACCTCCTTATGCTAAGGTCAGTATTCGTTTGCTCGTGCTGCGATAAATGAAATGTCGTATTAATTATAAAATACTGGAATACGCGTAGGTAGTTAATAGCAAGAGTGGCGCCACCTCACCTTCAGAAGCCGCCATCATAGACGTACAGAAATGCACTTTACCTGTCTTTGCTAAGGTCTGTATTCGTTTGCTCCTGCTTTGGTCAGTCGAAATGTCGTAAAAAAGCTTGAATACGCAAATTCAGCGTTAGCCACTTGTGCTGCCACTTATAACAAGACTGGAGCCGCCTCACCCCCAAAGCGGCCGTTAAAGTTGTACAATAATGCACCTTACCTATGTATGCTAAGGTCAGTATTCGCTTACTCCGGTATTTACGTTAGCTAAAATATGTCGCTAAAAAACCAAAGCAGCTTTCAACAAGTCAAGATATGGTTTTCAAAGTTAAAGGACTCTGTTTTCTATGGTGTTTAAATGCCATAGGGAAATAAATATTGTGTTGTTTAGTAGTTAGACAAAGGCACAACAGAAATCATTACTTATATACTACGTTAGCGTTAAGACTTCCCGTATATTTTTAATGACTGCAATAAATTTTACAACGTACTATAAATAGGTCTAACGATTCAAAATAATACAATGTGAATACACTTTTTAATACCGGCGATTGTCGCGACATTATTAAATTTATGATAGGTACTAGAAATTAATACAGGTTTAAAACTCCCGATCATGTAACCAAAATACTGACGATAACCTTTTTCCCAAACCTAGATTCTAGCGTGGCAGATATCCTTATCAGCGGAAACCTTCACCGAACAATCGGAACCGGAGACTGCACCAGAGCTGGTCATTTGCGAAGACCTGGAAGGCCAGCTAATCCAGATCCTGGTGACGACGGAGGCTGCGCTGGGTGCTGAGAAGGTCAAGACTTGTTTGGCATTACTCACGGCTTCGAGAAGAGGACTGGATGATACGGAAATATTGGATATGCTCGCCCATGATGAGCTGTTCAGAAGCGAAGAGACTTACCGTGAGTACTGAAAATATGTTATTAAAATTATACTATGCACAGTTTCAAGTCAAAAAAATTTTTCTAAATTCAATATCGTTTATTCAGTCTAGGCTGTTACAAGCACTTGTGAATGTCGAAAAGCTACGCCATCGGTTCGCAAATCTACGGCGGGAGACCTTGTACTGAGAAGAACCGGCAAGAAACTCAGCAAGGGCTGTTTTTTTCTCCCTGTACTATATACAGAGTCGTCAAATTGAAAAATGACTTCAATATGAGGTAACTCATAAAGTCACTTTTCATTACAAACAAAAAAAAATGCAAATAATATAAAAATTATGACTATAAAATAAAAAATAAAACTATGTAAAAAAATGGTTTAACAAAATTTAGGAATGACGTGTCCTACCGTTTAGGCAAAAAATAATAATAATAATAATGAACGATTAAAGTTTAGAACAACGATTAATAATACCCAGTGAATTAAGAGCAGACTCATCTCCGCTGGCAGCACCCGTTCACGAGCATGACACATGAACCAGCCATCGCTTCGCTCAACCATTTTTTAAGGAACGCAATGACCCACCTCACACGACACCACCGAAGAGATTTTTAAGAGAGCATGACTACTCGTAACCACACATGGATACTATGTTACAAAAATAGAAAAAAAATATATATATAGGTACCAGTGTACATTATTATAACAAACTATAAATACAACGGCAGGACACATGCATGTGATTACCTAAACACTGTTGTCGACTCTGGCAATACTCTCCAACCCAAAACCAAATCCAACGTCAGCCCCCCCTTTTCAGTCTCTATAGAGAATGACAAGGATACACCGCTGCAAAACCAAGTTCAGGTCTAGAAAACCATACCAGAATCCACACCGCCATTAAATCTTTATCAGAGAAATAATAAATGTTCACTTACATTTTGATTGCTGTGTCATACAGTATAAATACAAGTTTTGTAATGTAAAATACAATCTAAATTTAATAATAATTATCATTACAATAATAAAGTAGTATAGAGCAGACTCATCTCCGCTGGCAGCACCCGTTCACGAGCATGACGCATGAACTAGCCATCGCTTCGCTCAACCATATTTTAGGGAACGCAACGACCCGCCTCACACGACACCGCCGAAGAGATTTTTAAGAGAGCATGACTACCCATAACCACTAAAACTAATCTGCAAAATAGTTACTTAGAGTTAAGGTAATTTATCTGTACGACACTGCAAACAAACTTCTTAAATAAACAACTTTTAATGTGACATTTCAACTCATTTATGGGTAACTCAAGAACAGCTTAAGGAATTTTATTGTAAAAATGTATACCTTGACCCATAAAAGATCGGTAAAGCTTCTGTAACCTGTAGGCTGGCAATGCAAGCTTGTTTCTATTCCTAGTGTTAAAATTGTGCACGTTACTGTGTTTGGTATACAAATTGATATTATTTTTAACGAGGAGTATGCAATTGTAAATGAATTGAGAAGCAACAGTCAAAATGCCAATTTCTTTAAATTTTTCTCTAAGAGATGTTCGGCTACTCAATTGATAAATAGATCTCACAGCTCTTTTTTGTAAAATGAATATACTTTCAATATCAGCTGCTGTTCCCCAGAGTAAAATGCCGTATGATAAGATACTATGAAAGTAACTAAAATATACAGTCCTGGCAGTATCTATATCAGTAAGTTGTCTTATCTTTCTTATGGCATAAGCTGCTGAACTAAGTTTACCAGCCAAAAGCGTAATGTGATGACTCCATTGCAGTTTTGAGTCTATCGTTATACCTAAGAATGAAGTCGAGTCTACTAAATCTAATTTTTCATTATTTAATTTAATTCCAATATGCTCAACTTTTACATTAGGTAAGGAAAATTGAATACACTTGGTTTTATTAGCATTTAGCTTTAGATTATTGACATTAAACCATTGCAGAACTTGCGAGAGAGCATTATTCACATCGTCATAGTTGTTTTTGCGCCTGTCAACGTTAAATAATAAAGATGTGTCATCAGCAAATAATACAATCTCACACAAATACTTAGTAGGCGAAACTACTATATTTTGCTTAAATAAGGTGTAGAGCAGCAAAAATATACTCATTTCAAAAATAAAGAAAATATTTTAACCACACCACTTTTTTTTCATCTACTATATTTTTAGAGGTAACAACTTCGAAATTACTATATTTGATAGAAAAAAAGTTGGTAACCCTGAGGAACATATACCATTATTGTATAAATTTAGACTCATTTTACCATAATAAAGTTAATCTTTGGGATTGGCAGTTTCCAAGAAGATATTTGTAGGTTAAAACTTTTTGACTGTGGATTTGTGAATCAGGGGCCACCATTCGCAATGAGGTGTGTTATCATTTACTGATCCAGTTCATCGTATCTCTACTGTTGAGATTTTTGTTATAAAATTTGTGGTTGTCAAAAGGGGATTCGATTCATCATCAGCCTATTAATGTCCCCACTGCTGGGTACAGGCCTTCCTTATGGATGGAATAGGAAGATTGGGGCCATTATCCACCACGTGCCCAGTGCGGATTAGTGGATGCTAACGACTGCAGATGCAGCCGGGACCAACGGCTTCGCGTGCCTTCCGAAGTACGGAGGAGCTCGAGATAGTAAATTTTTGGCCACCCGTCCAATGACCGACCATTACGAAAGTTGCTTAACTTCAACGATCGCAGCGGAACGCGCTAACCACTTGCGCCATAGAGCTCCTCATAATTCGAATAAGGCTAGTATTTAATCGTCTAGAATCATTTTTCTATAATCCTGACATGTTCCCGTATATAATAGTGAAAACTTCTTACAGCTTAAGTATGCCGCATACCGTTAAGCAATATTCAGCACGCGCTAATCAAGAAATAAAATAAAAGGTTGTTTGGTTTAAATAGTGCTTTACCATACAGCATCTTGTCAACAACCTATATAATATCAATATTACCGGTATTAAGTAAAATTTTCAAAAAAAAAATATCAATTAATATCGCATGTCAGTTTGAACAAACTGTTACATAATAATCAATTTGGCTTTGTGAGAGGTAGATCAACAACGGACGTGGGTGTTGCACTTATTAGACATATCATGAAAGCCTGGGAGAAGTCGCAGAATATTCTTGGAGTATTCTGTGACTTATCCAAGGCGTTTGACTGTGCTGAGCACCAGACGCTGGTGTTAAAATTAAATCACTATGGAATCAAAGGCGCAGCCCAAACCTTGCTATTATCGTATCTCAGTTCCAGAGTTCAGACTGTAGAGGTAAATGGTGTTAAGTCATCTGGATCTTATGTGAAAATGGGCGTTCCCCAGGGATCGATTTTAGGTCCGTTTCTATTTTTATTGTACATAAATGATTTTCCATTTGCCAAAATGAACTGTCTTCGCGGGTCTTTAAGTTTTTATACAAAAAATGTTGTGTTGTTTCAAAGCTGCTCACCCATTGTTCTGTACCTGGCAGTGCCATGGGCGCCAGCATCTTTGTTCTGGCCGCAACTAGCTGCTCTCCTGTCTCCATGGTTACGATGGGACGCGCGTGGCGCCGCCCGCTGGCGGGACGCGGCGTTGGCCAGCGCGGCCCGCGACCGGTACCTGCAGGACGGGGACACGCGCGCAAGGGACACGCTGGCACACTACTACCAGGTAATCAATAATGCTGGCGTTGGCCAACGCGGCCCGCGACCGGTACCTGCAGGACGGGGACACACGCGCAAGGGACACGCTGGCACACTACTACCAGGTAATCAATAATGCTGGCGTTGGCCAACGCGGCCCGCGACCGGTACCTGCAGGACGGGGACACACGCGCAAGGGACACGCTGGCACACTACTACCAGGTAATCAATAATGCTGGCGTTGGCCAACGCGGCCCGCGACCGGTACCTGCAGGACGGGGACACGCGCGCAAGGGACACGCTGGCACATTACTACCAGGTAATCAATAATAAATAAATAAATATTTCCAACACTCACACCAATTAACCTAGCCCCAAAGTAAGCACTGGTGCCAATTCTGGCGTGATTCTCTAAACTTAAAACTAAATTTAACATCAGTCTCTCTTTTTCATTCTGTATAGAGAATGACAAGGATATACTGCTGCCAAATTTAAGTATAGGTTTAGAAAATCATGCTAGAATCGACACCACTATAAGGCTTGTGTTATGGGATACCAGGGTAACGGATAGAATACATATACTGTACATATATAAGTATATTTTTTTTAGAAATACATACTAAACATCCATGACGACCTCCGTGGCCGAGTGGTTTGTACGCCGGGTTTCATGGCTGTCGCCGACTCGAGAGGTCCCGGGTTCGAATCCCGGTGGGGGCAGATGTTTGTGTGTTGAATACGAGCATTTGTACTCCAGTCATGGATGTTTAATATGTATTTATATAAATATACTTATATATGTACAGTATATGTATTCTATCCGTTACCCTAGCATCCCATAACACAAGCCTTATATGCTTACTTTGGGGCTAGGCTAATTGGTGTGAGTGTCGGAAATATTTATATTTATTTTATTTTTATTTATGACTGGAATACAAATGCTCGTATTCATCACACAAACATCTGCCCCCACCGGGATTTGAACCCGGGACCTCTCGAGTCGGCGACACCATGAAACCCGGCGTACAAACCACTCGGTCACGGAGGTCTTAATAATGCTGGCGTTGGCCAGCGCGGCCCGCGACCGGTACCTGCAGTACGGGGACACGCTGGCACATTACTACCAGGTAAAAAGGAAGAAAAAAGTAGAAAGGAAAAGTACAGAATTGAGAAGTGTAAGAGTGTGTTAGTCCCTGCGTCGGCGAATACGCAGCCATTTTAGTTTGGATCGAAAGTGTGACACATGGTCATATTTACGTAGGTTAAAAATGAATCTGATACACATATTCTGCAGACTTTCCAGCTTGTTTAGGGTTTCCTCAGACATGTCAGTATAACAAACATCAGCGTAGTCGATAGTAGAAAGTATAACCACATTAACGAAATGAAATTTAGTTTAAACTTCGTTTACGGAAGTTCGGTTCGGAGATAGGGAGTAGACGCCAAGGTGTGTACGCGGCCAAGGAGAATCTTGTAGCATCGAAAAGAGGACACCTTGTTACAACTATAGTTGTAAGTGCTACGTGATCCACCACTACTTATAGTGTCCCGCCGTAGGCTATCGGTTTGGTAGACTACGGTAGGATTACAACTCTAGTCATAATACATGAATAAGAGTCAGTGGCGGCGCTAGACCACATGTGGACGTCGGCGACATCAAGTTCGCGTGGCCTATTTTACTTCGCAGTAAAAACCGTTAAATTAAGTGAGCCAAATTATAAAATAACGTATGAGTAAATGAGTTTTATTGTTGATAATCAAATGATGACAAAAAATAATTACAAACATAGAAATTTAATAACAAAAATAGTGTTGCCAGACAGACGATTCTGAATACCCGTAAAGTACTACTCGCTTCCATCACGCACGTTTTCGAAAATAATAAAAGTCATTATCATCTGCTTAGCTTTTCCCCGAATTGTTCGGGGTCGGCTCCCTAAGCCAGGCTAGGAGAGAGAGAATAAATAGGTAACTTGTAAAAAAATTTTGCGAGGCCCCCTCAGGCGCGAGGCCGTCGGCGGTGGCCGACGTCGCCGACGCCTAGCGCCGCCACTGATAAGAGTTGACAATGTAACTAACCTGCAATATCATTGAATTTTATATACCTGAACAACTCCACAATTGGAATTGATTGAAATGCTATTCGCTACTCAACGTTTTAAAAATAAGTGCCAAAATTTACCTTTAACTTGATAAGATTTTTTTTCTCCTTCTTTAGTAAATCTTAAAATCATTTAGATCCAATCACCATTTGATTTTCAATTAAATCGACTGGACATTAAATCCGTACTTTTTTGTATTGTCTCTGACTGATGAATATTTTATTTCAGGGTGACTGGTATGCGGAGAACGATCCAAAAATGGCGGGCAGATTAGTTTCACAGGAAAACAAATTTTCTGACGAATGGTAAGACCACATTTATTAGTTTCCGTTCAAAATGCTACTTATCAACTTCTGACATACATTTAAAAAATGACTTCAAGGGCAGATTTTTCAAAACACGGATTAAACTTAACTATTTGATAAATTAATACTCAATCAAATAGAGGAGATGTCATCCGTCACATTACAACCATGAACACAACTTTACTCTTTATTTTTTCCGAATAATACGATATCAGACAGATAAATTTTATCCATTGTTCGAGATTTCAGCTCTATGCAAAACAAAATTTTAAAATCATTACTCCCGTGCTACTTCGTTTTAAAGGAATTTTCATTGTTTACCTCTTTTGACATTCTCCCAAAAACACACTAAAATTCTTCAATAAATCTTTTAGCTACAACACTCGGAAACTTGACGAGCTACCATTCCAACACTACCATTTGTACAAAGACGAACCTGAGACCTTCGCGAACCAACCTTACTTCACCCAACTCGACTGGGTGCACGCCAAACTGGCCGCCACTGACTGCTGCCACTTTCTAGAAGACATAGCTCTTATCCACATGGACAACTTACCAGAACACGTGGAGATACTCAAAGAAACGTTCGAAACTAACTCGTACGCTCTCGACTATGACCACAGACAATTCTATGGTATCCTAAGATCAACCATGGAGAAAAGGAAGAGGGAAGGCATAGAGAATAAGACTAAAATAGTGCAGGACTGGATGCAGGTCATCTGGTTACCACCTTTTCCAACTTTATACCCGATGAATGAGGACTTTTATAAAATCAGCGAGGGCAAAGACAAGAAGGAGCTGTCGGCAGTAGAAGGCTTCGACAGTAAGACGTACGATTTGATAGTGAGATTCGACACCAGAGGCAAGTTTGTGGCGACTGTGTCTACTGAGAGGGAGGAGATCTGCGTTTGGGATGTGACGAGGTAATTACATGGACATTGGCTTCGATTAAGGCATGATTCTCTTAACCTAAAATTAAATTTGTCAATAGTGTATCCTTGTCGTTCTCTATACAGAATGAAAAGGAGAGGCTGATGTTAAATTTGGTTTTAAGTTAAGAGAATCATGCCAGAATCGATACCATTTCTTGGTCGACTACCTTTGTTTGTAAATTCGAGCACAATAGGGTATTTGACAAGTTTTAGAAAACGATCTCACGTTATTGACTAATGTTAATGGAGTCCGTAAAAAGTGGTGGATATTCATCATTCTGTTGTGTATTTCAGTAAAAATAACCAAATCAAAAACTCCATTTTCAAGTTGCCGCGAAAACTTTTCTCTGGACAATATGGCGTCTTACTAGTGTGTGACGTCACACGACGTGACACAAAACGTCAAACGATACAATGTAATGTCACTTTTTCAAACTTGTTTTAGCTAAAACCCCAAATGATTGCAAGAATCGACTGTTGCCCGCGGTCCACCCGACCGCTTTGTTCAACTAGGTGAAACATGTATGAGTAATTATTTTTTGATTGGATGGCGCTCGATGACTCAGGTGGTTTCTGCATTCGGCCAGCGATCGTGAAAGCTAAGCAACTTTTGCAATGGTCGGTCATTGGATGGGTGACCAAAAACTTATTATCTCGAGCTTTTCCGTGCTTCATAAGGTACACTAAGCCGTTGGTCCCGGCTGCATCTACAGTCGTTAGTACCAGAAGTATCGACATGGGGGGTCACGGCCCAGTCTCCCTATTCCATCCATAGGGAAGGCCTGTGCCGCACCAGTGGAGCATTAATCGGCTGATGATGATAATGTATGTTCTACAGGTGTCAGCTTGTCAGGAAGCTGGTGGGTGTGACGCATCCCATCAACCTGGTGCCCATCGACGAGTACAGATGCGTGGTGCTCTGCCGTAGGGAACTGAGGGTGTATGACCTTGACCAGGTAATTATCCCATATTTATTTTATTTATTAGGAATACCAACAATTGTTACAATAATACATTGCGAAAAACATACGAATCATTTTTAATGGCTATGGGTGTAGTAACATTCAGCCAAAGACTGATCGAAGTTGTTTATATAAATAATATTATATATATATTAAATATTACAGTACTATAGCTAAATGCAAAAAATAATTTTTAATTATTATTTATTTTCTTTTTACGTTTGACTCCATGGATCTCCTCTTCAATTAGTCCTGCGCAGGGCCCGATCTAGAAATTTTGCCGCTCCGAACAATCTTCATTTTTTGCCGCTTTTTAGTAACGTATTTTACGGCTGACCCTAAGTAAATTTTTGCCGACCTGGGTAAATAAAGAACTGTATTGAATGGAAATAGGGATGTACATTGTCACTTTATGGGCACGGGCTAACGAATAAGAAATAATATGGAATACGACCTGCGCTCAAAAGTGGTTCAACGCAAATTGCGATCAAGAGGGCGGGACGAAAAAATGCGATCAATGCTCTGATCATGGGATTGGTTGGAATTTCCGTTTAACATCAACTTACCCAATGAATGGATAGCCGAATTCATTTGCAGATTTGATTTGTCAAAGTATTTTGTTTTATTTATTTGTTTAATTCTTAATGCACAATTGTACAATGGCGGATTTAATGCCGTAGGCATTCTCTACCAGTCAACCATAGGGTGTTGTGGAGAAGATTAGTGGTAGGGTGGACATGTGAGGTGGAAATCATATATATATATATATATATATATATATATAAACATACACATACGTAAACATATAATAAAATAACACTACATAAAATTAATACATAATAATGACGACTAACTACTTAACGAAATTGTCTGTTCCAGTAAAAAGCTTCGAGTTTTGTATATGATGATTGTATGAGTTTGCGCCCATGTTTTAGCGACCTTTGTAAGAGAGTAATGCTTCCATATCATTCCTAATTTGTTGGCACAGGATCCTTAACAATAGATCCCGCGTTGACACAAAAACTTTCTTCTAATACCTAAATCAATTCTTCTACTTTTAATTCTTCATTCGTTCACTTCTTCCTGTACAGGGCAAGTTCTTGGTACCGTTGAAAGGTGTCATGAACCAGAAGATGCCCTTCTATGGACTACACGACTCGAAACACCTGGTGGCTCTCTCGAGAAACCGGATGTACGTCAACCTGATGAACATCGAGACTGGTGAGACATTGGAATAGTTAATAATAGTAACTAAGCAATATTTACAAAGTATAAAACAAAATGGCTCCCACTGCCTGTGCGCTTAGATCTTTTTAACTATGCGACGGATTTAAATAAAATTTTCATTACAGGTGATTGTGTGACGACATTCAAAGCAGGCGAAGATAGATTCCTTAATTCACTACTTGTATCAGGAGATGGAAGGTCAGTTTGCCCATTAAGAAAACGTGTTAATAATGTATGGAATTCTGTAATAAAATCATAGGTTCATTGTTTTTAAACGGTTTAATGGCAGTAATATGTGATATTATTTAAATTGTTTTTGCGGTCTTTTATATATTTGCATAAGCAGTTGGTCCCGGCTGCATCAATGCAGTCGTTAGCACCCGCCAATTCGCACTGGGCTCGCGTGGTGGGTCATGGCCCTATCTTATTCCATCCATAGGAAAGGCCTGTGCCCCAGCAGTGGGGACAATAATAGGCTGATGATGATGAAGGTAACATAAAACTAGGTATAAAAGCCAAATGAACTATCAAAATATTCAAAAGCAGTTGCAAAATAATTGGCGCCCAACGTGGGGCCTAAAAACAAGGCCTTATTTTATAGTGCGGTGTTACTTAATAGCTACCAGTAAATATACAATATTGTGAACCTAACGGTAATCTTAATGATAACAATAACTGACATTATCATTAATGTGACAGAATCCCTGTATCATATCAATAATGGGCGTAAACCATGCATGATTCTCTTAAAAAAAATTGTCGTCGGTCTCATTACAATTTTAGATATAATGACATAATTTCATAATAAGGCGCATTGAATATGTTGTTATGAGGAGCTCGATGGCGTGGGTGGTTAGCCCGTTCGGTTGCGATCGTTTAAGTTAAGCAACTTACGCAGTGGTCGGTCATTGGATGGGTGACCAAAAATCTTCTATCTCGAGTTCCTCCATGCTTCGGAAGGCACATTAAGCCGTTGGTCCCGGCTGCACCTGCAGTCGTTTGCACCCACCAATCCGCACTCGGCTCACATGGGGGGTCATGGCCCAATCTTCCTATTTCATCCGTAGGGAAGGCCTGGGTCCCAGCAGTGGAGACATTAATAGGCTGATGATGATGATGAATATGTTATAAAAAAATCTCATCTAGGCCCTACCTACCTCTCATAAAAAACATCCTAAGCAATAGGTATTTTAACCGCCATATTTCCTAGGGTTCTGGTTTGTGGTGATGAGACCCAGAAGCCGTTCCCCCTGCTGGTCTGGTCGCTGACTTCTAGAAAACTGCTGTACGACCTTCGCATTCCTCACCATGACTTCGTCACCTCCAAAGCCGCTATTACTTATGAAGGTAAATCTCTTTTCCAGTAGCTGAAGGTATTTATGAGCTCTGCCTTATAGTGTGTTGTACGCGAAACCATTATATTAATTTATACGCCGGCTTCCATGGTGTTGCCGACTTGAGAGGTCCCGGGTTCGAATCCCCGTAGAGGCAGATTTTTGTGTGATGAATACGAAATAAGATACGAGCATTTGTACTCCAGTCATGGATGTTTAATAGTATTTCTATATAAATAAACTTATATATGTATTCTATCCGTTACCCTAGCATCCCATAACACAAGCCTTACAGTGCTAACTTTTGGGATAGGCTAATTGGTGTGAGTGTTAAAAATATTTATTAATTTTATTAATACTTTGCAAAAGTAGGTAGGTACTGGTTTCATAAGTCGTAGTGCATTCAATCTAGTTTGGTTGGTGTATAGGATGAGTTAAATTATTGCAGTGAAATCTTTTTAGGCACCATGAACCAACCTTTGACACTTTTGGAATGGCGGAAAAACTCTGGACTCTCCTGACTAACACACACAGATAAATATATACAGATGTGTGTGCTTTTCGACGTATATTTATAGTTTTTTATTATATGTTACGACAAAAATATTTAATTTTGTTGAAAAATAAAGATAATGATACGTATAAAACAGTGCATTAAAAGTTAATTTCCATTGGATTTTCATTGGATAATACTTTCATGATCACGTGATAGTAATTTGCGTAATTATACGCACTAATTATGCAAATTAGTGGGATGCTACCACATAGCTATCTTGTTTATGGAGAGTTCCTGATAAATCTGCGGTAGGTACTCCGTCATCTTGCCACTTATAACAGTGCAGAAATATCAGAGACTCACAAAAACCAAGGTAGGTAACAATCTCGCTTATTACTCTGTAGGATGGCCAAAGGGGATGATCTTCCTCCGAGCTGGATGATGGTAGCTCGAGGACCGCGGCCCGACTGATATTGGTCAGGCATTGTATATATGGAGTGTTAGCCTCCGAATTTCACTTGCGCGATGTAGGCTTCCATACTATTGTGATCGCAGCGCAGGTAGCGCCATCTCTTAAGGAGGCAAGTGATTATTACCTCCATATTAGTTATATGTGGGGCATATAGATGTCGCCGCAACAACTCACACGTTCTTACTTCTGACTTGCGTAATTCTACTTCTGGCAACACGTTTTAAATATAATAAATTAAACTAAAAAACCTCAACTTTCCAGGGTCCTACGTGTGCGTAGTCTCCCGGGAACTGGACGAGCCCAGCCCCAACTTCATAGTGGTGTACGACCTTCAGTCCGGCACACTGTTCAAGAAGTGGAAGCCTGGCTGCGACACCGTAGCCCTGGCCATCAGCTCCGTGGACGGATGCGTGGTCTCCGGGCTGGCGGACACCAGGATCCTCGTGTGGGACCTGGTCACTGGTAAGTAACTTCTTTTCAATGGGTGTGACTGCATATCTACGGCCTTATGACGTCTATTTTTTTTGTGGAGGATATTGCGCGAGTGAGTTCAGTCAGACCAGCTAAGTCAAGAACCTAAAACCTGAGCCCCCAAAGACTTTGTAGGAAGGCCAAAGGGGAAGATCTTCCTCCGAGCTGGGTGATGTTAGCTCGGGGGCCGCAGCCCGACTGATATTGGTCGGGCTTCGTATATATGAAGTTAGCCGCCGAATTTCATTTGCGCGATGTAGGCCTCCATACTAATATTGATCGCAGTGCAGGTAACGCCATCTCTTGAGGATGGTGAGTAATGATTTCTTATATCCGTTGTATTATCTGTGGGGCATATAGATGTCGCCGCGACAACTTTAAATTGATTGCCTCTAAGGTCCGTATTACAGAATGACAACTAAGTATTGATCTTTACTTGAGTACAGTTAGAAAGGGATATCGCTATGTGCTATATATAGCGACATCCCTTTCCAACTATGCTCAAGACTAGATCAATCACTGAGAATCTTTCTATAATACGGGCCTTAGAGGTTTCCCTATGAGTCGAAGCGATTCGCCCGGTATTTGGCCACTCCGTTGAGTTCCAATAGAACGTGATTGACTGTTCTTTGTTCTCTTCTCCTACCATGAATCCTCTGCAACGAGTTTGAACACGAAGAAAGAAGCGGTTGGTAAGGAGCCTGCTTGCCATATGCAATGTCGGTACTCTTAGCTATAGGAGTCTTGGAGAGGGCACGCTGTTCAAGAAGTGGAAGAATGGCTGCGACACAGTAGCCCTGGCTATCAGCTCTGTGGACCACTGCATAGTCTCCGGGCTGGCCGACACCAGGATCCTCGTGAGGGAACTGGTCACTAGTGAGTGCTATGTACATGACTTTGGGGATGAGACAAAAACTAATGGCATTAAAAACGTGACATCAACAGTGCGCGGCCCTGATGGCCGTGTCGAATTCTTTCTAGCCTTTCTTAAACTGGCAAGGCAGCGCCATCTCTTCGCATCGTAGATAACCCACAATGTCAAATGAATACCTTTACAGGTATTAAAATAGTTATAGTTTTTATTTTTGAAACATGTAACTGCTCGATGTTAAAATCTAAAGACATTGTGGTCATTTGACATTATGGGTTATGTACAATGCGAAGAGATGGCGCTGCCGTTCAGCTTAAGAAAGGCTAGAAAGAATTCGACACGGCCGTTAGGGCCTCGGTAGCATAATGGTCAGTGCATTCGCCCGGTTAGCGAAGGGTGCGAATTCGAGTCCCGTCTGCTGCCTCGTCCGCGTGTTTTTTTTTTCTAACAAAATGTACTATTAACAAAATGAGGAGCTCGATGGCGCAGGTGGTTAGCGCGTTCGGCTGCGATCGTTGTAGTTAAGCAACATTCGCAGTGGTCGGTCTTTGGATGGGTGACCAATTTCTATCTCGAGTTCCTCCGTGCTTCGGAAGGCACGTTAAGCCGTTGGTCCCGGTTGCATCTGCAGTCGTTAGCACCCGCCAATCCGCACTGGGCCCGCGTGGTGGGTCATGGCCCAATTTCCCTATTCCATTCATAGGGAAGGCCTGTGCCCCAGCAGTGGGGACATTAAGAGGCTGATGATGAATGATGAATGTTCAGGTAACTGCCGGCTAACCCTCCGAGGACACGTGTCTGCCCCTGGCTTGCTTCGTCTGGCGAAGACAGGTGGTGTGCTGCTGTCTGCAGACCACACGGGCCGAGACATGTCCGTGCGACTATGGGAGCTGAACACTGGTAGGTATAAATAAATAAATATGTCCAACACTCACACCAATTAGCCTAGCCCCAAAGTAAGCACTGTAAGGCTTGTGTTATGGGATGCTAGGGTAACGGATAGAATACATATATTGTAAATATATAAGTATATTTTTATAGAAATACATATTAAACATCCATGACTGGAGTACAAATGCTCGTTATTCATCACACAAACATCTGCCCCCACCGGGACTCGAACCCGGGACCTCTCGAGTCGGCGACACCATGAAACCCGGCGTACAAACCACTCGGCCACGGAGGTCGTCACATCAGGTATAAATAAAACAAGTATCAACGGTATAGATGCACTAATCTCTTATCTATTAGACAAGTCCGTCCGTCCGTCCATCTGTGGTGCTGTTTCAGCGGCCAAACCGTAAGAGATAGATAAAGAGAATGTTTAAGTTATAAGTTAAGAATAGTCTGATAAGACTACAAACCGGATTTGAGTAACGTAGCACTTCCGGTTTTCGAGAAATCACGAATTTCAAACGAAACCACACAAAATCTCCGAAGTTCTCAATTAATTAAATACATTATTTTTTTTAAATCAGGTTTTGGTGAACATTTGGTTCACTGGTTTGCTAGTTTATTTATTAATTGACGTGTCGTATCCTTTTCAGGATGCGTCGTCGTATGACGTTCATAATAGGGTATTTGACAAGTTTTAGGAAACGATCTCACGTTATTGAAGGAGTCCGTAATAAGTGGATATTCATCATTCTGTTGTGTATTTCGGTAAAAAAACCAAATGAAAAACTCTATTTTCAAGTTGCCGCGAAAACGTTTCTCTGGACAGTATGGCGTCTTACTAGTGTGTAACGTCACACGACTGTTATTAAAACGTTAAACGATACAATGTAATGTCACTTTAACCGGGAGTTTACTTGCGTGTGACGTCATTTTAGGCTCCGCCAATCCCAAGCGTTTTGGGTCACGTGACAATAGATAAGAAAACTTTTATCTTTTTCGTTAGTTTTTAGTAAAATTATGTATATTTTTTTGTAAAAATAGTAAAAAACCTCTGCCAATATTCATTCTAAACACAGATACTAACAATTGACACTTTATTTTTTATACTGTCATACCCTATTCAGACGACACATCCTAAAAAGGATGCGAAACGTCAATTAATAAATAAATCAGTGCATCTATACCGTAGTAACTGGTTTTATTTAATGAGTGGTGTGCGTGAAAATCTAAGAAACAAATATACTAAACTCTATCTATTCTGTGCGAACTAAACATGTTTTTCTTTATTCTCAGGCAAACTGATAGCAGTGTACACTCCACCGGAGAGGATCACGTCGTGCGAAGTGTTACTAGGGGGTTCCGTCCTGGCGATGGCCCTCGAAAACTACAAGGAGATACTGTGCGTCAAACTCGAAGGACCCCTTGTGGAATCAGTCCGCGCAGGCCGGGACTGCGAACAAGACGAAGACAACTACGGCGACGAGGTCAGCGAGGGAAAAACTTTCACGGTCAAGAACGAATGCTGATAGCGGTTGTAAACTCCCCATATTACTACATTTTATAGGAAATGGGAATTAAGGATCGAAAGTCACCCGGGCAGGATTGAAAGGTGTTAATGATGGATTGAAAGTGGTTCGGTGCGGATTGAAAGTGTTCGTTTGATGGATTGAAAGTGCAGTTCATTGTTCTCATATTGATTGATGGTGGCCATTTTTGCTCGACCGACAAGTTTGAAAAGTTTTAAGTGCCAATTCGTAGCATAAGAGAGGTATAACGCTACGTCATTGGGATGAATACTCAAGTTTCTTTTAGTTTTGTTTTGAGCCATCTCTATTTCCCATTTCCATTTAAGGTTAGAGAATAATAAAAATACACTTTAAATACTATGAACATTAAGAAGAAATTAAAAGGCCAAAAGTAAAAAAATACCGTAAAACATTTTTCAAATTAGTAGCTAATGCAAGTGGTGCGCAAATTTCGAATGAACAAACAAACATCCAAATTTATAAAGCCTTTAGTAAATAATTTTGACCAATGTTTAATGAAGATTTACGTTGATATTTTTAATGAAAATTTAACTTTGAAGACGCCCATTTTGCAGACAATGCAAGGATAGGATACACAGTCAATATTTATTGACTCTTTCCAGCGCCCGCCCGTCAGTCTTCGCGGATGGCCCAACGTGATTCGCTCTAAAGAACAAAGTTTCTGTTAGCGAAATTTCGAAAATAAATACCTATTTATTTAACAACATTAAACCGTAGAAGGTACAATTCAATTTTCGTGTGAAGTGAAATCGTCGACCAAAACGCGCTAGAGTTTCGATAATATTATCTTATCGTAGGGGGCATAGTATTTAAAATACGACCTGTATATCTATATATGTATGTCGTTTTTATCACGCTAAATTGTCCAATTACTAGAGTTTGACAGTTAGGCGCGATAAAAACGTGATATAATGTATATTGCTCTTGGTACGGGGTCTGTAGGGCTAAAAAAGGCACAGCCTCTATCGTTTTCATATTGAACGATGTATGAGTAAGTCTGTCAATACAGATTGATGTAAATATTGAACGTGTAGCTTTGGCCTTTAAAATTTTGGGCAAATGCACAACTAATGAAACTGGGGTACATTATTATGGGCTGGATGAATGAGGGACTGTGAAATATGAAATTAAATAAGAAAAACGTTAATGTTTTTGATCTATTACGCTTATTAATTACATTATTACATTAATGAAATAAAATATATTTACTGAATCCTCTAACTGTAATGTTGATGTTTAGAATGTAATTTTGTGGAAAGGAATAGTTTTTAATGATGAAAATAAATTAATGTAACTTGTAAGTCAATTTTTATGTATGATTTGCATGAATTCTAGTTTTGCTTTTGTGAGAAAGAAAGCATTTGATATTTTGTATCTTGGCAACTCAACATACTTACACAGCACGCACACAAAATTAAATCAAGAAAGTAAACATTGCAATATATTATTATGTGCTGGCAACACTGAATCAGGCTCAATACAAATTGAAGAGCAAAGCCTACACAATAGCGAGCAATGCTGGCATTATTGTTTTGCTAATAAAACAATTGTTTTATTAGATTCTGAATATAAGTGAAAAAAAATATAATATCCAATTATACTATAAGAAAATGGCGGAAAGTATTGCCATTTGCCTGATAATAGTTACCTCTTATATTATGTGAGATTTTTTTCTATATAATATTGTTGAATATTTATTTAACACAACTTAAACTTAGAAGGCCTTTATTAATAAACAAGGAATAATCATGAGACTGGTTCCGCCGTGTTTCGTTCATATCACTCAAATGCCATTTGTAATGGGGATGATGACAATTTTTTTTTTTCGTTTATCAGGTAAATTATCAAAAAGTATTGGACACGTATTTTTTCTTTTTTCATATAATATAAACATTGCAGAGATATATTGATTTGAAAAGTCGCAAGACGTCACGTTTTGGTACAATTTTCACTTAAAAGTGACGTCACGAGCCGCTACTCCCAAACTTTGACGCGCTATAACTTTGTCATTTTTTGGTTGATTGCCCAAAGAAAGAATACGTGTCCATTATATTTTGATGATCTAACTGACGGACTAAATATAATTTCATTTACTGTACCCCGTCATCACCCCTACAGAGACAAGACATGAAATAACTAATCCAAGCTTATTCTTGGTTTATTAATAAGGATGAGTAGTTTTGATTTTAAGGCATTCTTTTAAAAATGGAATGGAAAACGTTTGTTTTTAACGAAAGCACAAATATTTATAAGACAGTTGATAAATATTGGCAGGTTATACGATTGTGAATTTGAGGAGCTCAATGGCGCAGTGATTAACGCCAGGGCCGCATTTAGAGGTGTAAAAACATCCGGGGCACTTACAATTTACAGAAATTTGTGACCATAATTTATTCACTTTTTATCTCATGGGACCCTCTCCCACGGCCACTGCCCTAAATCCGACCCTCGTTTTCGTTCGATCGTGGAAGTTATGCAATATTTGCAATGGCCGATCATAAGAGATAGGTTTACTGAAAAAAAAACCTTTTCTGGAGCTCCTCCGTCTTCAGGTGGCAAGGTAAGCCGTTGGTCCCGGTATCTGCAGTTGTTTATACCCGCCAATCCATAGACACAGTGCAGACTAAGGGTGTGTTCCGTAATATATACCAGTATACTGGCCAGTACTAATGACGTCAAGAATCGACGCCATGCTGTTGATTCGTTCCAAAATTTCCAAATACACTGATCAGCGCGGTGACGTCATGAACTGGCGCTATATTCAAGCAGTCTCGTGTTTGTGTGCAACGTTCGTGCTCCAAAAATTATAATAAAGTGTGTAAATCCCGTTATTTCCCTCATCGTTCAAAACTATTTTTTCTGTTTGTTGAGATTCCATTATTATCAATTTAATACAAAAAAGACCTTCACTAACTGCAGAGCGTATACACCCAGCTATTATACGTCACAGTATTCTCACCAGCATAATATGGCGGCACACCAGTGCAATATGGCGTCGAAATCTTGACGTCATTACCGCTGGCCAGCGTACTGGCTTAAGTTTCGGAACACGCCCTAACTGGCTTATTCGCTGACTTTGTTGGCATTTTAACAGCATGTAACTAAAGAGAAAATTGCATATTCATCGATGCTTTTCATAAAAAGTATCTTAGTGGCGTTATAATAAAGCAGTAGTGAATCACTAAACAGCTACAGCTCGGTGATTATCACTTCCATCTGTCAAAAGCAGGTAGCGAATAGTCCTACTGGTAAAGGCGCGGCGAAGATAATGACAAGTTAACAATTTCAGTTAAACCCTAATTCCTAATTAACATAAGGTTAAAATTTTCATGGCAAAGGAACTTGGCGCAGGTGGCTAACGCGTTAGGCTGCGATCGTTGAAGTTAAGCAACTTTCGCAGTGGTCGGTCATTGGATGGGTGACCAAAAATCTTCTTTCTCTAGTTCCTCCGTGTTTCGAAAGGCACGTTAAGCCGTTGATCCCGGCTGTATCTGCAGTCGTTAGCACCCGCCAATCCGCACTGGGCCCGCGTGGTGGGTCATGGCGCTATTCCATCCATAGGGAAAGCCTGTGCCCCAGCAGTGGGGACATTAATAGGCTGATAATGATGATGATGCACGGTTGATTACTCCGCTCTGTGGCTCTGTCGACATATTCGCTAACTTTTTGACATTTAGAGTTGGTAACTAAAGAGAAAATTGCATATCCATCGATGCTTCTCAGAACAAATACCCAAGTGGCGTTATAATAAAATAATAATAATAATAAATTTTATTTTCTTTAACATTGGTTTAGTTACATTATATACTCATGATTGAAGCCACCTTTTAAGCAAATAATGCCTGTGACAGGTGACTCCGCTCTGTCATACCTAAAATTACAGTTTGCTTATCGATCTTTATGTTTAAACAAAAAGAGGGACTTATAAATGTAAACACATATACCAAACAATAATAAATCCTTAATTTTTTACATGGTTTTAAAACAAAAAGTAGTTGGTGGTTCTCACTTCATGCGAATAGGCCGACTGTACCGTGCTGAAAGTCGCCACGCCCCAGTGTCGCCAGTGTCAAAAAGGTTGTCGAAAAAGCCGAAAGTAATACACTTTTTTTTTTTTAAACTTACACCAATTAGCCTAGCCCCAAGCTAAGCACTATAAGGCTTGTGTTATGGGATACTAGGGTAACGGATAGAATACATATACTGTACATATATAAGTATATTTATAAAGAAATACATATTAAACATCCATGACTGGAGTACAAATACTCGTATTCATCACACATACATCTGCCCCCACCGGGATTCGAACCCGGGACCTCTCGAGTCGGCGACACCATGAAACCCGGCATACAAACCACTCGGCCAAGGAGGTCGTCGATGGTTTCGCGTTGCGCTTTTTACCTATGCAGTTATATTAAATAGGATAATCCGCGGTTTTTATTTCCTGTACTGGCAACACTGTAGCATGCCGCTCGGTATATTTAGTGTGAATATTGATTAAGGAATACTGCAATACTTATCGCGATATTTTTTGATTGTCTATATATCTTAGCACAAACTACTAAAGTACTCATGTAACTACTACGCTTTATAACTCTAAGCTTAACTTTATTTTTAAAATTGAAAGAACAATGCTAGTGAATTGGCCCAAAAAAAAAATATGTTGTGCAGATTTGGGACATAGACTACGATGTAGATCTAATAAACACCTTTAACTTTTGTTATGGCGTCGACAAAATTGGCCCCAGCAAAAAAAAGTTATAATATGCTGAAGTATTGATTCTGCTGTAATGAAATATATTATTTTACGTCTAAAACCCCTTTTTGAATCCAAGCTAAAACCATACACGTTGCCTCGACGGGCGACTCGCCAGACGTCAGGCAACCTATTTTAGTATTGTCATTGCTGTTCTCTTTCTCTTTTACCTATTTTTCATCATTGGATGTTTCATTCGTACACGACGGCCGCTCTGACCCTTTTTTACCTAGCGTGTGGCGTTGCCTGATGTCTGACGAGTCGCCCGTCGAGGCAACGTATGGTTTTAGTTTTAGCTTAGATTCAAAAAGGGGTTTTAGACGTAAAATAATATATTTCATTACAGCAGAATTAATACTTCAGCATATTATAACTTTTTTTTGCTTTGGGCCAATTTTGTTGACACCATAACAATAGTTAAAGGTGTTTGTTAGATCTACATCGTAGTCTATGTCCCAAATCTGCACAACATATTTTTTTTTGGGCCCAAAGACAAAGGCAAGATTTGCATGGTCCTTTTTTAAGCATTTAACTGTTCGATGTTTAAATCTAAAGAAAACATTATTAGGAAAAATTCCACGCGGACCAGGCAGCAGGCGGGACTCGAACTAGCACCCTTCGGTATCCGGGCGAATGCACTGACCATTTTATAACTATAATTGCTATGTATTCTTTAAAATATTTACAAGTAGTAGAGGTATTCATTTGACATTGTGGGTTATCTACAATGAGAAGAGATGGCGCTGCCTTGGAACTTAAGAAAGGCTAGAAAGGATTCGACTCGGCCATCAGGGCCGCGGTAGCATAATTGGACAGTGCATTCGCCCGGTTAGCGCAGGGTGCGAGTCCCGTCTGCTGCCTGGGCGGCTATGTGAATTTTTTTCTAGTAATATTTTTTTTAACTTTATTTATTTATTACTTTTATTTTCAGAAAATGTAAGTTTAACGTCTATCCGAATTCTACTGTAACACAAGTACTTAACTTAGAATAAATCAGCATGATATTTAGATGACACCTATTGCGGTATGAAATAGTAATCATAAATTCTTTACAAAAAAATATCACAAATAATGACTGTTTAAATGGATTGGTTCTTCAACGGAGTTCTTCAAAAAACAAAAAACATTTTATAATTCATTTAACTACATATTCAGCATTGTTGTAAAATTATCACCAACCCTGCCCACTCATTCATTGTCTATGACGATAAATTTTCATTGAAAGTTATAAATTTTCGAAATTCAACCATTCTGACTTCCATGTATGAACTGGGTACCTAACGTTTGTATATGAGACAATGAGGGGTTGGATTTAGCGGAACAATTTTCTAAAGTATTATATAGTAGCATCAAAATCTGACTGAAGCCTTCGGGTGTCTCACAGGGTTCAAACTTAGGACCTACACAAAACATGTTACGGATAACGTCTTCTCTAATTTAAAGAACAAAGCTCAGTTTAAATAATTTTATTGATTCTTATAATCACATGCACAAATATTAATGTTAATTTCTAATCTAGATTTAAATAAAAGTTACTTAACAAAATACTCTCGACCAATACAAATAACAGAATGAAATACAAAAACTGAATAGTTTTAGACATACGATTTCATTTTGATATTAAACTTTTATTTAACTGAAATTATTTAGTAAAGTTTTGACATCATCGCGTTTTTTGTAATTCAATCACCGGTCTGGGGGCCATTCGCCTAACGGGATTGCTATGGAAAACGCTATCGCTTACGATTTCATTTTGTTATTTCTGGCGCCGAAGGTTTTCAAATACCTCACGCTCATTTTCTTTCATATTGTTATTACCAATGCAAAAGAAAAAAAAAAGAGCACGAGGCATTTGAAAACCTCAGGTGGCTAGAAATATTAAAATAAAATCGTAAGCGATAGCGTTTTCCAAAGCAATCCCGTTAGGCGATTGCCCCCCTGGGGAATCTTCACCTTACATAATACCAAAAAGAACACTGCCTTGTGGTAGATTTACATTTTGATTAGAACCTAAGGTAAGGTTGGCGATTTGGCTAAGGCCGACAAGGTGAGGACGGCTGAAACGGCACATTTCCCTGCCGTATCACCCATCTTCGACACTGACACTTAACATCAAATAGGGTAGGAGTAATATACAATGAAAAAACAAATGAAAGTCATTTAATCAGCTGTTACAAGCACTCATGAATGTCTAGAAGCTACGCCATCGGTTCGTTAATATACGGCGGGAGACCTTGTGCTGAGAAGGAATCCTTCATTATTATTATGTACAGAGTTGTCAAGTTGAAAAATATTGTCTTCAGAAGTGATTCGTGTAGTCCCCTTTTATTAAATCACATAGTTTTAATTTATTGCATAAAAATATGGTACAAAAGGTGTTCGGTCATTATCACGTCTCGTATATTTTACTGTAAGACATCATGCATCATTTATTAACAATTATTTTAAGCTGCAAAACTATTTTAAAATACTACCTCCCTCTCCTACTTTCTGTTTGATCAAAATACTAATATTCCTACGTTTTTAGTTTTATCCTTCCAGACTAAAATTGATCGTTAACGTAGGCCTCTAACTACACCGTGGTGACGATTCTGGCACGATTCTCTAAACCTAATACTAAATATAACATCAGTCTCTCCTTTTTGAATTGTATAGAAAATGACAAGAGAGAAAGAGAAGAGAATTATGTCAGAATCGACACCTTTATCTTCATAATTAGGTAATTATTCACCTTGTTGTTTGCTCGAGTAGTCATTGTAGGTAGTAAGTTTAATATTAATGAGATTTTTTGTAAAGAAGATGCTGGTTCATCGCATTAATATAAACTTGGCCTTTGCTTCTTTTAAATACATGTGGTTTGTGCTTCTTTTAAATAAATATATGTTCACATCACTCTGTCAAAATCACTTGTTAACCTTTAATCTAAGAAACGAGTGAATTACGGAATAAAGTATAAGTTTAAGTAGGTACAAACGAAGAGGTTGTTATGAGTCGTCATTTTTCACCGCTGACAAAAAATGGCAAGCCAATCAACTACTTCGACTGTACTTACAAGCTTCGAAAGGCGTAAAGAATCCACCTCACCTCGCCTAGCTTCCTATGGCAGCACATATAACAATCCTTTCGAAGTTTTTAAAGCACATTTGAGCAGAGGTGAGAATAAGGAAATATTGAATGGAGTTTAATTTTTTTTTTAGTTTGTAAAGCTATTTTTAACCTACTCATTGCTTAGGACCTGTGTTGCTGAGTTTCAACTGTTAATACTACCTTCCTTTTATATAAATATACTTAGGCTGTTTTGAAAATCTATAGCTATTATTATAGAGAATATTAATGTTATGAAACGGTAAGAAGAAAAATCAAATATTATTTGAATTTAAGATCACATAAAGACTCAAATAAAAAAACATTATTCTGACGATGCAGACCTGCCCCCCTAGCATGACTAACAAAACGCGATATGATAAAGCGATTTATCGACATTAACTGTCAAACTACAATGGAGTTTGACAGTTGAGTGTCGATAAATCGCTTTATCATATCGCGTTTTGTTACTCATGCTAGGGGGGCTGAAAAGGCTGCGAAACGTCAATAAATAAATAAAGTTTCGTGCATTAACCCGTAAAAACTAGTTTTATCATATAAAGACTGTTGTTCTTTCAGATAGTTTTGGTGAACATTTTTCAGCATAACAGGCCCTAAGAATATCCAATCGACCAAAGCAATCTTATATTTCTAGGCTAATCTGTCTACTTTTTATCTTGTAACTTAACGGAACTGATAATATCTAATAATAATGTCTTCTAAGTGATTTTAAACGTAACTTTGCTGCCATATTTACTGTAACTAATTTTAATGAAATATTTTGTTGAATTATTTATATATCTTAATATATTATTAAGCTCTCGTTTTAATATATTTTATTTTGAGTATAAAACGGTTACGAAACATACAATAATCGTTTTCTCGAGTCAGTCACGCATCACTACGAAAGTACCAATCGGTGTAATTTCTTGTTGGGCATTTTTATGTGGTAGTTACCTAAATGAGCATGCTCTAGATCTTTAAACAGTTTTTGCTTGCATTATTGAGAAATCAATCAAGCTATAGTGTCGAATATGGCATGCTCCTCTAAACCTAAATCTAAAATCAGTCTCTCCTTTTCATTCTGTATTTTACAACACTGTCGTCAATTTTTATTTTAGGTTTAGTGCCAGAATTACCACAATTATCGCGCAAAAATGGCAATTAATAAGCTTCTTCGAGTTTTTTTTTTTGTTTAATGGTTTTGA